TCTTTCCACATAGCATAGGTAAACTCTGTTTGCTGAATCTGTCACTGCTTTTCTTATGCAATGTAGCAAACAGGCTTAACTTTCTAAAGGCTTTCAGGGGTGTAACCAATCTTTTCCTAGTCAATGGCCTTAATGGATCAGGGAAAAATCTTTCTAAACAGTATAAATGGGTAATAGGATCTTTATTACTACATTTGTATATAATTACTTTCTTACCTCTGTATTTGCCCTTTACCTACACAGATGACAAAGGTCGGGGGATAGAAGAGGGAGAAACCAGATTCCCTCACTAATTACAAAAATGGATATTTTAGATTTTCAAACAGATCAGGTTAGAGTTGAAGATAACATGCATTATCTTCTCCTTTAGTATTGATTTTGAACTTTTTTGTAATGAAAAGAACTGACGGAACATAGACAGCTAATCTTAAATGACTGACGGTGGTCACCATTTTTTTTTTCTGTTTAAGATAGTTAATTTTAATTTTTCTGATGTTCAATGGTCATCATTTCCAATACCCTGTTACTCTCTTTCTATAAAAAGTACTCATGGTAGGGAAGTGTGAGTCTTCTCAATAGTCTACATGCTTTTGAGTTCTTTGATTTTTTTTGATTGTCAAACTGTATTTTCCTCTCTCTTTCCCTGCAAGGTAAATAAATGTTGACTTAGTCTGGAGGAGCTTATTAAATTTTTCATATCTTTTTTCTGCTCTTCTGCATTCTGGTTTGTGCAGAAACTACAATGAACCTGCAATGGTTAGTATTTTTATTGATATATGTTGTCCACTCTACAAAGGAAAATCATAGGATCTTAGATTTGAGGTTAGTACGGCCCTTAAAATTCATTAAGCCCAACCTTATTTTAAAGATGAAGAAATTGAGGCTGAGAAGTGAAGTGACTTGTCCAAAGTCATTAAATGAAAGAGCCATTCTTCCATGATGGCACTGAACAGTCAATTAGTATTTTCAAAGTTATACAAATATCTACAGGTAAACCATAAAGATCTGTGTAAATACAGAGCAAAATGGAAGATATTTATGACTCCTGGATGAGACCACTTGGATACGCATTTTACTCAATGGCCTACAAATTAGTCTTTGAACATTAAAGACCTAAGCCTTTAAGATGCTGGTCCATTGGTTTAGGACAGCAGCAAGGATGTCTGGCTCAAAGAAGTAATTTCATTTCAACAGAATTGCTAGAGATGAGAAGGTTCGTTTTATCAGATATGATGGTGATATTCCAAGGTAATTAAGTTTCCGCTGAGAATGTCTGAACATAATAGTCCATTATTAGAACACCAGTGTCTTAGAACCAGTTTAAATATTACACATATACAAAGCAAAGCCCTATATGCTCACCTTTAAAAGAGGATGTCATCACATTGCTTTCCATAGCTGTGAAATTCTGCCTACCCTGGCAAGAGAAAAAAAAAGAAAGTGCTTATAATCCAAGTGATTCCACAATATACAGGATTTCAGCAACATATTGCCTCCCCAATACATTTTTTTTCTTCTTAGAACACCAGACACCTACCTTAAATTTTATTGACAGGAAAATCAAATAATTACACAAGAACGGACAATTTAAGTCATATAGTCTAAACATCAAAGGGCAGTGTGAACACACCTATACAACAACATAACAATATCTTTACTCTTACCTTTGCTGTATTGTTGCCAAACAACCACTACATCCCTTAAATTGTGTTATCAACTATTTTTGTTATTTTGATATTAACACCAAAAAATTTAAATGAAACACCAGAGGCCATAGTCAGACATTTGGATCAAAGGGCATTTTTAATTTCTGTAAATTTCACCAACCACACCGACTTTCCTATTAAAGGCAGAAAAATGTCCTTGTAAAGTGCACACCAAGTACTTCTGGTTCCATTCTCCCCTCTATGATGAGGAAGAGTTGCCTTAAGAGAAACAGAGAAGTGTCCTAGATCCCCTTTCCTTCTTTTTATTCCTGCTATGAGGGAAAAAAATCTGTCCCCAGAGCCAGTGCCTATGGTGCTTACACCACAAAGAGTGGTTCCATGATAACGTTCCCATACCGTATGCTAAAGTGTCAGAGACCTGGTTCTGCTGCTGGTTCCTGAGAGACTGTCTGCTATCATACCCAATTGGGTCATGAAATGGGCCTGGAATAGTTTTAGCCAGTATTACTCCACTCCTTCTTCCTTCAGCTCACTCCCTTTCCTGCTCGTTTGAGGGTGGCTTACCCGCTGAAATTCTATATAGTTCTATACAAAATTCTTTGTGCTGTGGGCTGGAGAACTGGGCCTTCAGACTTAAAATAAAAATGCTGAATTGTGGTCCAGAATAGTAAATGATCTACCTGTTCTTCCTCCAAATGCACTGCTTGCATTTGTATTCCTTATTCAGATTTTAAAACAAATGATGCTGCTTAGGAAATACAAGATGCAAGTAACTTTCTAATTTGTTTTTATTATGTCAATGTTACAGATATACTTCACCCAAGAATATCTTAAATTTACAGTTCCCCATAAATAAAAAGTGAGCTCTCAATCTTGTTAAAAAAACGCAAACACAAATTTACCCCAAATGTAATTTATGCCAAAAAAGTAAACAATCTTGTTGAAGGTAAGTTTGTTCCCTCTTCAAAACAATCCTTGGTCTGTAGAACGATCTTCATTAAAACGCTGACATTTTTCTGCATTGTCAGAAAGGTCTTGGCACTAGAGGCTAGTGCATTTCAAGCAATGGGGCCTGCAGGACCAGTGCAGGAAGCACACTATTCCTGCTCAGCTGCTAATAATCTTCCTTCTTCCCATTCCATTTCTAAGAACAGCATGATTGACAGGACAGCGCTGTAAAACCAACAGCATGCTTTATCAAACATAGCATGCAAGTAAGGTATATTCCAGAATGGGACACAGAACCATTCCTGTTCTGTGGACACTTCAAAGTTGTAAGGTACATGAGGAAACTGCATTATAAAAAGAATAAATGATTTGTTCAAGGTCATGTGACCAGCTAAATTTTTTTCCCCTCAATGATTATAAGGTTAATATTGAAGATTCTAATTGTGAAGTATCCTGGTAAACCTTATTTTGTTTCTCTCTAAAACTATTTTAAGAAGGATCAGAAATTCCTTTGTTGTAACTTTAAACAAAGAAGCCCAGTTGAGAATGAAGGTTCATAGTGGTAACTAAAACAAAAAAAAGGTGGGGGGAGGGGAGGACAAAGGGACAATTCTGTGTGCGCAGCAGAGGGAATCATGTTAAAATTTTCTATCTAAAATCTATCCAAAAAATGGAATGGGTTGTATTCTGAGGTAGTGAATTCCCTGTCACTGGAAATATTCAAGCTGCAGAGGGGTAACCACCTGAAAGGGATGTTATAGCGGGGTTCCTGTACTGGGAAGGGGGTTGGACTGCATGACCCTTACAGTCCCTTTCAGCGTCAGATTCTTTCCATACCTGTTTGTTTCTCCAAAACAGTCAACTCAAGTCTGTTTGCTGAAATGGCTTTTATTTCCTATGAATTCTGTTCTTTAAAACCTGAGACATTTTTTACTTTATACTTTAACACGAGTGAAACGAATCGACAACTGCATGGAAAACAGAGGTAGTCAGTTTTACAAGGACATTTCCCTTCCTGAGTCAGAAAGCAGTTCAATTTATTGTTTGCTGCTCTCCACTTTTCTCCCCTGTCCCCATCTCCTTTTCATTATGGCAGCAGCCTTCTCATCCTACCTGCTATTTCCATAATAACTTGGTTTTGTCTTTTCTAATATGAAATAACCTGCCATGGGTTATGTGTTTTCCATAGGAGCTGAGCCATTTACAATTTTCTAGCTTTCAGAATTTCTAGACCCCAAAGGAAAACATTTTCACAAAATCTGAACTGAAATATCAGCTTATTAAAACCATTCTTTATTCCATTGCTACACTCCAGCAGATCAAGAAATGCTTCTTCAAACCTCCCTGGTAAAACTATAGAGGGTTGGTTTAGTCCTCTAAATACAGGTGACGCATCTTCCACCACTAGCAGAACACAATGCAAAGTAAGTGATAACTACTTTTCAAGCCATCATCTGACAGGAAGGAAGACACCAATACAGCTCATTACTTATGGAAGTCAAGACATTCAACCCCAAGCTTATCAAGGTTCGTATTTGTGCAGACACAACACTGTGTTACCAGACTGCAAATGTAATAAATATACACAGAAGTAAAAATGTCAGCTATATCATCAAGAAAGTAGTTAGTGCAAATATAATTATATTAAGAAAAATAAATCAAGATATCTTTCAAGTATAAAAGCACCATGCTCTGAAACAATGCTCCCAAAGTCGATTACTGTACAACAGTCAGAAGATAACAATACCTACCCTTGTGAATCTAATATATTTTTAACTACAAAATTTTGGCGAAATTGTGTTGTCCAGTTCAAGTGATTCCTGAATCACTATAGATAATTGACTTCAGGTCAATTCTTAGTCATTAATTTCTCTTTAAAAATAGCTAACAGTAAGCTTTCCTTATGTCCTGACCTCCCTGAAGTGCATGTGCATATCGGGTAGACTTAAAAACTAAGCTTGTGTGCTGCTTCCTAAACACTACCCTCGTACTGTTCTGCTTAGCTCAGTGTTGTCTACATTAGAGACTCCCAACAAGAACAGAATATAGTGTGTTCCTGGCAAGAAGGGGTTAATTTTCATTCCACACCTGGGTCAAGGCTGCTGGGAAATTCAGCACCAGAGACTGGGATCTTCCTGATAGCAGCAAGGACTGAGGGGCCAGCACCCCAGCCATTCTGGGAAGGGAAACTTTATGGCAAAGGGTCTGGAGTCTATGCTGCTCCCCACCCCCAACATGGTACACAAATTGGCTTTCCTTCAATAGAGATGTTTAAAAAAAATACTCTTGGGGGCAGCGAGGTGGCGCAGTGGATAGAGCACCAGCCCTGAAGTCAGGAGGCCCTGAGTTCAAATCTGACTCAGACCATACACTTGACACTTACTAGCTGTGTGACCCTGGGCAAGTCACTTAACCCCAATTGCCCCCCCCCCCAAAATACTCTTTCTTCAGACTGGGTGTCACTTATTTCTTGGCTTTAATATACAAATTAAGGACATGCACTGCCCAGCTAAGACTTATTGATGTAGACTGTCAAAGCTATTGTAAATTAGCATGACTGGATTCCTTCTTTGCTCTCATACACCCGTGGTTTGTATTGTATTATTAATACTTGGTCATATTCTCTCTCTTTCCAACCAGCAGGTAGGATGCATGCACTCTCTGGAGAGAACAAGGGCTGTTTTGTGTTTGCCTCTCTATTTCCAATGTCTACCAAGACCACCTTGCACATAATCAACAGGTCCTGAAGTGAACTGGATTGTGCCAGGACCCAGACTTGGTGCTACAAAGCAGAAACTGTCCCCTCCTGATGGGACGGGAGATTCTGAAGCTCAGGGGTGAGACCTTGAAAAAATGCTAAAGGAGCCTCCCCACGTCTGCGTTCTCAGGCAAAAAGCCTTGGAGCTGTGATGCTGGGGAGGGATGCTTAATACCTGTCAGACAACCCAAAACACTGTGCATGCTGTGCTTGGCTTGCTTTGTCTTCCCGTCCAAGGTCACTTGGGGCCAGCCATGTAATTCTCAGGCAGTAACTCCTTTCCCTACCCCTGTGAAAAGGCTTCTTTAACCCTGGCTGGCCTGGGCCACAATGAGAACTTTCTGTTATTGTTAGGACTAGAGATATCAACGTTCCTGCCTGAAAAACCTCTGGGTCTTCCCTTCCCTTCTGTGGTCATGTTCTCAGGGCTCATCATAACGAGTAGCTGTCTTAGTGTCTTAGTAGTGCTTACTCTTTCACAAATTTTTTTTCCCCTAGAAGTCATTAAACTATGACCTAATTGAGAACACAAATGGGCTGTGATTGAATATTAGATTCCAAAGGTTAATAAGAAAAGATACTGCTGGGAAAAGTCTGTCAAAAAAACCCCAAACAGAACCTATCATCAGGAGTACTAGATAAACACAGTGCAGTTCAGCTACTATTTGAAAAAGGTAGGTGTGATTAAGTTACAGAATGAAATTGCTTAAATAAAGCAATGCCATTGAACTAACTTCCAGTACAATGATGTACAGGAGGGTCCCATGAACAGCATGAAACTCCAAAGACCCATAAGTCAAATGAGAGTTCACAATTTTGAAAAACTCTACAGGATTCAATAGAATTTAGGATTCTGCAACGACCTGCTGATGGGCAGTCAATCAGCTGTGGTGCTGGCAGCTGAACTTGTCCGTGATTTCCGACAGCAAACACTGAGGTATATAATGAGTCTGATGATTCATTGGTCACCCCAAGGCCATTTCAAAGGAATTCAAGAAAACCATCAAGGATGATCACTGGTCCTAAAACACGAATGGCCTTGGCAACTGATAACATCCCTCTTCTTCTCAAAGCTTGGCTGATCAAAGCTCTGGGTGTGCAGAGATGGCTTCAAGGTCTGGCTGTGATCAGCAGTTTCCAAGCTTAAGTCATAACTGCGTCTTCGGCCTTTTTCGCAGGTTGGCCCCTGTCTAAGTTGTGTGCTCTGGCCAAGAGGAACAACAACGTGAAAGAGATTCTCTGGGATTCATCTTTTGACCACTAATGCAAAACACACAGAAGGAATCCAGCCAAGAGAGGAAACAGGTTAGCCAGCAGCAGCCAGAGCGTAACAACCAGGCTGGAGGAGCAGGAGCAGAGATCTAAAATTCAAAACAAGGGAGTCATGTTGTATGATCACACTGACGTAATGCAGATATTTGTACAACCACTTAAAAACAATACAGCATTAAAAAAAGATCTGATCAAGTTAGTACCCCAGAGTCATGCTTCAGGAAAAGTGTGAAGGGAAATTGATTTTTCACCTCCTATCTTTATCCTTTGGATAGACTAGTCACCCACATGTATCTATGTATTCTGTATACCATTATAAAATGTCAGTCTGACAACCAGATGTCAACCAATCCACAAAAATGTGCTCACTGATAAAAGCTAGCCTCCCAGAGGGTGTCTTAGGCCTAAAAACCTTCAAAACCCAAAGGGAATTCAAAAGGAATAAATAACTTTCGAAGACACAATTAACAGAGTCAACATATGTGTTTAGCAAAATCACTGGACATAAGATCAGGGCACAAAAATCATTTGCATCTTTATTTACTAGTAAATATAAGTAAAGATTAAGAAAGTATAATCTTAAAAGAATCATATTTGGAAATTGACCTACTTAAGAATTTATAGGCTCAGTATGAGAACTATAAAATCATAACTAATTAAAGGAAGATCTAAATAATGGAACGAACTTGTTAAAGCATGACTCTGACTAACAGAGTAAAAATGTCAATGCTCCTCGAATTAATTTATATATTTAAGGCAAAACCAGTCCTAACATCAATTATGAGGAACACAAAGGAACATGGAGAGATCTTTATGAAATAATACAAAGGGAAAAAAAGTAAAACCAAAACAATGGAACATAGGCTAACTATGACCACATAATAGCAAAAGTAAGAATTAATAAATATTCATGGAACTTAAAAGAATTAAAAGAGATAGAATTTTAACAAAAATTAATGAAGACTTGAATTGCTTTGATATTTCATGCACTGAAATTAAGTAATTTGAGTGTAATCAGTTGTATCAATTTTCACTGTTTATAAGAAAACACTCAATTTTAAAAATGAAATATCTTGAACATCACAAGGGTAGATATGGAGTACATAGTTCTCTGAAAGGGGTTATATTAATTACTCTGGGTTAGGAGGAAACAAGAATAAAAATGGAGGATAAAAAACTGAATAGGCTCTGGGCACCATCAACATGTTTAAACACTGCCTGCACCCAGGGCTAGATGGGCTTCTTTTCAGTGCCTGAAGCATGGTTCTGTGTCAGAAATGGAGGCAACTTTATCATTGGAAATGACATTGAAAAAGGCACACTACCATCTGCTTTGCAACTATGCACGAAGCACCACTGGCTTTTCCAACTGACTGGCAGCTGAAACCTGTCCCCCTTTTAGGGTATGAGCTCCTCAGCAGCAGGGACCCCCTCCCTTTCTCTTTGTAACCCCCATATTTAGCCCAGCGCTTTGCACATAGTCAGTGCTAACCGTTCTCCAACCCTCCTACCTTCCCTCTCACTGTCGAGGGCATCACCATCTTCCCAGTCCCTCAGGCTAGTTACCTAGGGATCATCCTCAACGCCTCACTCTCTCTCATTGCCCGTATCCGATCTGTTGGCAAAGCCTGTCAATTTCACCTGCATAACCTCTTTTGCATACACCCCCTTCTCTCCTCCGACACAGTACAGCTCCTCATCACCTCATGTCTGGACTGTTGCAATAACCTGTTGGTGGGTCTGCCTGCCTCAAGCCTCTCCCCACTCCAGTCCAGCTGAGCAGACTCAGCTATCGGAGTGATCTTCCTAAAGCACAAGTCTGACCATATCACCCCATACTCAATAAACTCCAGCAGCTCCCTGTCACTTCCAGGATCTGATATAAAACCATGTTTGGCATTCAAAGCCCTTCAGAGCCTGCCCTCTCCCTCTCTAGATTTGTTAGAGCTCACACCCCACCATGTACTCAGCAATCCAGTGACACCGGTCTTCTTGCTTCTTCTCAAACAAGACCCTCCATCTCCTGACTCCAAGCATTTTCAGAGGCTGTCCCCCACCATGCCTCGACTGCTCTTCCTCCTTATTTCTGTATTTTGGCTTCCCTCGAGTCCCGATTCTACCTTTCCCAATCTCCCTTAATTTTAGTGCCTTCCCTGTAGATTATTTCCAATCTATCATGTATACAGCTCATTTGTATATAGTTATTTTATTATTGTCTTTCCCCTTGGACTGTGAGTTCCATGAGGGAAGGGATAGTCTTTTTGCCTTTCTTTGCATCCCTATAACTTAGCATGGTACCTGAGACATAGTAGGTGCTTGATAAATGTTTATTGACTTTAATAAATGCCTTTCATTTCTTTATTCACTGAGTCAGGGTGACAAATCAACACTAATTCTCATTATTTGAAAACATTTCTCAAATAGATAGGCCCTAGAAGAACCTGGTCTTCCTTAAACGCCAAGCTGAAGGGTTTGTATCTTATCCCAGAGTTTGACAAAGGCAGACAATGAACGTTTCTAAGAGAGCAAAGGCTGTGGTCAGCCCTGTGCTGTAGGAAGATTATTTGGGAAGAGAATCAGCTGATCAGCCTCAGCGATTCTACCCGTACCACCCTTCCTGTGGCTGTTTTCTGCCCATTCTCTAGGCCCCCAGCCTATATCGGGCCCTCTTCACTTATCTGTACCACTGCAACAGCTTCCCAACTAGTCTCCCTCCTTCCAGTCTTTCTCCTCTTCAAGTTTATTCTCCAGATGCCCAGGCACAAGCCTGACCACACCAGTCCTGCTCCGTTGCTCCCTACTGCCTCGGCAGGGCCTTCGGAGCCTTTACAGATGATTTCACATCCTGGTCTTTGATATGCTTCGTGTTCGAGCCAAGCCCTGAGGCCACCTGCCCTTCTCTGAAGTGGGCACTCCCCTCTCCCCTCCACGCCTCTGCCGGGACGAACTCTTCCTCACCTTCCCCTCTTGGACACATCAACGCAGGGGCCGCCTTCCTATGAGCAGCACTTCCTGATCCCCTCATTTATTAGTCATTTCTCCTCTTCAAATCATCTTGTATTGACTTAGGTCTGCACAATGTGTCTCTGCCACCTTCATTCTCAGCAAAAGGGAGGCTTCTTAACAGCAGAAACTGTTTCCCCATCCATTCAGTATCCTGGTGCCCTCAGACAGTAGGAGGCACTTAATCAATACTTGCAGAATTAATCAAGCTACTGGGTGCAAAATGGATTTTGTTTCCGAGTATGAACAATTTTTTTTTCTCCAATTACTCTAGCCTGCTTGAAGCGAAAAAGCACTGGGTTTAAAAAAAAAAAAAAAACAAACCACTGGATGCAAATTCAGAAGACTGCATTCCCAAACTCTGCCCCTCTTTCCTATTGAAAGCCTAAGCCTAGGGAAGAAAAACTTCAGCTACCTAGGACTTCAAAGGAGGAGAACAGAAAGTCAAATCAGAATATTAAGTTAGGGTGGGAAATCCCTGAACTCTGGTCTGAATCTACTCCTCAATTTGATCACACCTGTGGGGCAGGTATCAAAAAGTTATATCCTCATTTATAGTTCAGATTTACAATAAGGATTTAAGTTTTAAGTTATAACATCTTAAAACCTACCTACAATACACATAAGGTGCTCCAAGAATGTCAATCTATGTGGGTGCATCTTATTTTTCTGGGTCTCTTTTGCTGTGAGAATGTATTTCCCACTTTTCCTCACCTTAACCAGCCATAACACAGTACTACAGTAGATGTCTTTTAAAAAACTGCTTCACTGTAGAGTCTTATGTTCCATGCAGTTTGTTAATTTTAAAGACAGATGAAAAGACATAAAAATTTTCAACAGAATAAAGGAACAAGAATCTGGCAAAAAGGTTTTCCATCTATTCTTTTCCTTTGTGTGTGTGTGTGTGTGTGTGTGTGTGTGTGGCAATGACTTGCCCAGGGTCACACAGATTTTCCATCTATTAAGAGTCCTCAAGAATTGGATTTTAAGTATTTGATGGACACTCACTTACCCAGTGGTAAAGCCCTCGTGAAATTAGAAATTGGAGGATCTGTTTCTGGAGGGCAGAGTTCACAGAAGTCCCAACATGGTGGGCAGAGAAGGTCCCCATCATGTACCCAGCCGTTTATCTGAATGCTTACAGGGAGGACCTGACCGGCCCGGCTGCACAAGTATGTGGTGTTCTGGACCCAAACTTTCAAGCCTTGGGGAGAACAAGAAACCTTAAAACAAAGGGGAGAAAAAAATCCTAGCTGAGTAACATTCTGGAAAAGTAAGACAGCCTATGAATATAAATAGAAATTTTTTAACATATCACTACTAGGGAACACAATTTGCTCTGACAAATCAATGAGCATTTATTAAATACCTCCTATGTGCCAGACACTGTGTTCCATGAACCAACATGATACAAAAGAGTTTATTGATAGATGTATTTGAAAGGTCCTTATTCTATGGCAGAGCTTTTCAAAGTAGGTAGCTAGGAAGCTTAGCTGACAGAGTAATGGATTTAGAGTCAGAAAGACCAGAGTTCAGATCCTGCCTTGGACACTTACTGTGTGACTATGGTGAGGGGTTACTTAAGTCTTTCAGCCTCAATTTCCTTACAAAGTCCAACTGAAAAAAATAAAAATTCCTGAAAAAATATTTCAGTCTTTAATATAGCTAGTAGTTATTTTTTTTTTTTTACAGATACCTCCAAACTTATCACTGAGAGTTTAGAAAAATCACTTTATTACCTATTTCGTCTCCAGTTAGTCTAGCCTGCTTTTTCTTATCATGTTTCATTTGTTTGTTTGTTTTCTTTATGGTGAGGCAATTGGGGTTAAGTGACTTGCCCAGGGTGACACAGTTAGTGTCAAGTGTCTGAAGCTGGATTTGAACTCAGGTCTTCCTGACTCCAAGGCAAGAGCTCTAACCACCGCACCACCTAGCTGCCCCATCATGTTTTTAAATCACAGAAATTTCTTTTCTTTTTTTTTTTCTGTGAGGCAATCAGGGTTAAGTGACTTGCTAACAGTCACACAGTGTCAAGTGTCTGAGGTCGGATTTGAACTCAGCTCCTCCTGACTCCAGAGCTGCTGCTCTATTTGCTGTAGCACCTAACTGCCCCTTAGTACTTTCACTTTTTTTTGAAGCAAACAGGGTTAAGTGACTTGCCCAGGGTGACACAGCTAGTAAGAGTCTGGGGCTGGATTTGAACTCAGGGCCTCCTGACTTCAAGGCCAGCGCTCTATCCACTCTGCCACCTAGCTGCCCTACCACAGAAATTTCTTATGCTGTTACTGGAAATCCCCAACTTATAAAACAATTGTGTTTTAGAAGCTCATTTGTTTGGAACTCAGAATGCATTTTCCAGCAATGATATCATAAATGGTGGTCAGGTTGCCAGGGTACCCTACAAAATCCTACTCTGCAGAAATGGAGAATGGTTCCAGCTCTCTAAAGCTAGCATTGTGACTGCAGTGGAAAGGCCTCTGGACTTGGGAGTAAGGGAACCTGGGCTCTTATCCCAGCTCCAGCAATTACTAGCCTTGTGACCACAGCACATAACTAATGTAGCTAAACCAGAAACTGCCCGCATTACCCTGCTTCAGAGGGTTTTGTGAAAAAAGAGCTACTTGTAAACTGCAAGATCCTATACCAATGTGAGTTGTTATAAATAAGGTTCAGAGAAGTCCACCATTCAGTCCTATCCCACCAACCTTGCATTTTTTTTAAAGGTGTTTTTAAATCAGCAGATGTCTGATGGATGATCATTATTTCAATTAATTCTTGATATGGTGACTCAGTCTTCTATATTTACATATAGAAATAAGGAATGAAATGGTTCAGTCTTTGCATTTCCAATTTTAAAGAGAAAAGAATTTTATTTACCAATAATGTATACTGATTGACTCTAACACTGAGCTTTTTCCCCATCACTATGGAGGAACTCTCAGTATGCAAAATGCATTGATAAAGGTCAACCCCTCATCAGTAACTAGTCTTAGAATGGTACCGGAGGCACTAAGAGGTTAAGTGACTTATCCATGGTCACGTAGCCCCTATGGAACAGAAGCAAGGCTTGAATGTAAACCTCCCTGACTTCAAGTCTGTTCCTTTATCCACCAGGGCCACGCTGCCATACAAGATTTTTTTAAAACTTTAAAAAACACTGAATGCAAGTCATACCCAAAGGAAAGAAAAACACTCTCTCATGGAAACAGAGATGAGTCTTAAATAAAAAAACAAAAACAAAAAGAGAAACAAAAAACCAACAAAGAAAAACAGGCAGCCAAACAACCCTACATACAAAAAAAGAGAAGGAAAGGACTTCTGTTTTATTCAAAAATGACACTGACAATGATCATGCAGTTTACCTGATAACATCCACTCCCCCAGTCAGGATAACTGAGCTTCTTTTCACACTTTTCCATGACAAATGCAGATTTCTGGATTAGACATACTGAATGAGGTCCATATTTTTCAGCACCGAAGTTTTTGAAAGGTTCTGAAGTAAGTCAAAATGTATGTTTTAATAAAAAAAAAAAAGAACTTTGGTTCAATTTGTTAGAAACTAAAGTATCTCCACCATTACTTTTGACTAAAGTCCTTTCAAATCAAAACCAATTCTTAAGAGAATCCTGAAAGGAATGCACCAAGCATAAAAACACTGTGCACCAAATTCAAATTGGGACTTCAGAATAGCTATTAATAGGGAACAGTCACCTATATCAGAACACAGAAATTATGCTTCCTGATTGTTCTTTGACTGGATAGTCTTGGAACAATACTCTTTTTAAAGTTAATCATTATTTAGCTACATAAGAAACATTAAGGTCACCTTCTATGTTAGTTAACACTGGTTAACTTCCTTTTAAGTTCTAAGTTCAATTTTTGGTCCCCAAAACGTGGTAAGAGACTGGAAAATAAAAGGCTGAGAAAAGTAAAGGAAGTAGATTTATTTTGCCTAGAGACTAGATGAGTGACTGATTCTTCTGTATATAAAATTACTATGCAGAGGAAGTTATTAGTCACTAGAATTTTGAACACTGCAACTGGGAGCCAAGGAAAGAAGCACCTTCATGGGAGACCTGGGTATGACAACATCTAAGGCGCTGATGTTGTTTGGATAGGATGGGGGCTTCCAAGTTATCTGGTGGGAGCATTCTGGGGACTAAAGACACCCCACACAACTATGCTTAGGGATCAGCAATTTAAACTGAATCTCACTTCCTAAGATACTCAAGTTATTTTAATTCATTCAAGCATCAGCCTACGGAGAAAAGCAGAGGGAGGCCTAAAATCTCTCTAATCAACTCCCCAACTTTTTTGCAGAGGTGGGGGAATATGTGGTACACTACAGATAATGTCAGATTTCTTCAATGTGTTGGTTAGTTTTGTTGACCTGCTTTTTCCTCTATTTTTTATTCTCTGTTATAAAGGATGGATCTTTGGGAGGTAGGGAGAGAAGACTACATTAGCAAATGTAGGTGATGTTAAAACAAAAGATGTAAATAAAATGTATCTCTAAAAAAAGGTTAAATAATTACTACTAATCCCAGGGATATAAGTTTGTAACTTCTATTTCCAAAGGAAAGAGTTAAGCAGCAATTCTCGTCTCCGCCTATGCTGCACCCAATTCACAAAATAATTTCTGACCATAACTGAACACTTTATAAAGTTGATGATTTCCTTTTAATAGAGAGAGTTTATGTCCCACATGAGTCGATTTTAGATTTACAGAAGAATCCCCTATCCCACAGAACCTCAGAACTGGAAAGGACCTCCAACGTCACCCATCCCAGCTCGACCTGAATAGAGGCCTACCCTGTAACCTCCCCCACCAAAGGTCATTCAGCTTCTGCTTTAAGCCTTCCAGGTACAGGAACCCTTTTCTTAAAGAGGTATTTCCTCCACTTCTGCACCGCTCTTAGTGTTAGGAAGTTTTCCCTCACATCATGCTTCCTTTCTGCAGCTTCTACCCACTGCTGCTAGTTTCCCCTACTAGGGACCTGGCAGAACAAGTATAAATCAGCTTTCACAAAGCAAATCCTCAAATACTTGAAGATGGTTATCACGGTAACCCCCAAGTCTTCTGTTTCCCAGGCTCTTTCAAAACCAATCCAGTCCTGGCTTGTTTCATCTTGGTCCTCCCCCTCCCACTATCCTCACTCCGATTATTCAATCAATCAACAAACATTTACTGCTGATTAAGTGGCAAGCTCTGACCTTATCGATGAGGATATAAAACAAAAAGTGCAAACTGCCAAAAAGTTCCCATTCTGATAGAAGACAAGAAAATGTGTACAAATATAAGTACACAGAGAATATTAATCATCAATGATTTAACTTTATCCCAAGAGAACGTACTTTGTAAAAAGGGTTTGTGGCATGCATAGTAACACACAAGATGCCCAGAAGTGTGAGGAGGCAAAGGACAAGGGGGTTATCCCCTTCCTAGTTCTGGTCACTAGGCCTCTATTAATGTAGCTTCAGATCCAGTCGGCTTTTGTACTAGTGTCCTCTGAACCTTTGGGCCACTAACAGCCTTGCAGAGTGTGCTGACATTCATTACCTGTTGTCTAGCCACACCTGTTCCATTTGTTCTGCACAATTTGTCTATTTTAATACAAGCACAGAACTTTACATTTATCCTTATTCAATTTAATCTTAATTGATTCAGGTCACAGTTCGAGCCGGCCAAGATTATTCTATTTTGTTTAAAAAATTTTTTTGAGGGGAAGCTAGGTAGCGTAGCGGACAGAGCACTGGCCCTTAAGTCAGGAGGACCTGAGTTCAAATCTGACCTCAGACACATAACACTTATTAGCTGTGTGACCTTGGCAAGTCATTTAACCCTGATTGCCTCACCCCTCCCAAAAATAAATAAATATATTAAAAAAAATTTTTTTTGATACATTTTGATAAAACAGAAACTTCCTAATAAATTCTTTTTTACAAAGTATATTTTCTGGGAAAGAATTTAAATGACTGATTATTAATATTGATTAACATTAATACTGACTATTAATAGACACTTCTTTGTGTCATATATATAGCTGTTGTCCTGTCTCCTGCCAGAGTTCGTGCTTGTTGAGGGCAGGGGCTATTTCACTTTTGTTCTGTATCCCTAGCACTAGCACAGTGCGTGGCACATCGTAGGCACTTCATAAGTACTTGTTGATTGACTAAACAAAAGATAACAAAATCCTTAAACTTTGGGAGCATGAAACAAAGAGTGACCACTCGAATGTAATGACCACGGGAGCACCTGGCATTCACCCAGTGGATTAACTGCCCTTCCCAATTCTCAGTTGTATTTGAGAAGGATGCTCCACCGACAACAAACTTTGAACAGCACACGGAGGAGGACACTTGTGACATTCCAACAGATACGTCCCTCGAGGTGGACGTCAACACATTCATCACTGTTCTTTGGGGCTGATCAACCAGTTTTGAATCTTTCGTATTATCTAGCTGTTCCATTCTTCTAGTGCAGGGATTCTTACCCTGTTGAGTGTTACGGACTCTTTGGGCAGCTGGGGGAAGCCTACAAACCCCCTCTCTGAATTTCATTTCTAAATAACTGGAAGAAATGCTACATTTCAGTTGGAAGCTAGTAAAAATAAAGGTGTCATTTTTCCCCCCATCCAAAGTAAAGGATTCCCCAGAAATTTATTCACAGACTCCTTGTTAAGAACTCTGATCTAATGCTTCCAGCTTCTGGAATCATAAACCCACCCACTCTCAGTGATATCTGGAAAGTCAAATTTACCTCAACATATTAAGATTTCTAATTCATTTTATTACTTATAGTTTCAGCATTTGTGTAGAGATTACCTAAGAATGTGCTTTTGTATGGTTGCCCTTTTCTTATATACTGTCTTCTGTGAACTACTAATCTTTTCAAGTGGTATCCTCTTTCCTATGTCTTACCTGCTGGTCCCTACGGCTTCTGTTTTTACACCCACACCCACACCCACACATTCATATTGCTGTTGTTATTGTTTTCCTCTCTCTCATGTTCAGTTTAAAGCCCTCCTGGTCAAATCCTCGAATTCATAGCTATTTTAGCTACACTCTAATTGTGGTCATGAGCAATTCATTTCCCAAATATGCTTCTCTCTACGGAAGCACCTCTCTTCAGTCACTGGCAGTGATAAAAACATCACATGGTCCAATAAGTCTCCAATGTCTTGCTCCAGGTTTTATATCCCTTAAATGCTTTCTAAAGCAGTGACATCGATGATCCTTCCATGAATCCTCAAAAGCAGCTGGTGTTCATCCAGGGTGACAGGCCTTAGGAAGCCATCACATCCCAGCCACAGGAAGATGCCACACCTCCTCGATCATTCACGTCAGGCCAGCTCGCAGGTGCCTAAGCACCTCTCGGCCAGGAGCTGTCAACTACTTCTCCACTGTCTTTCTCTCCTGACAAGTACAATCTTCCCTACTGGCAGCTTCTTTACCCTCAGAAGTTCAACCCTCAATGGGAAAAGCTTCACATCTTGTTTTTTAAAACTGTCTGGATAACTTTATTTTAATATAATTGGTTTCCTTTTATAATTCTATGAATTTTATACATTTAGAAAAATTCTATGAAAGGATCCCTAGGTTTCACTGGCCCGCCAGAGAGGACCATGACACAAGAAATGTTAAAAACCCCTACTCCAAAGGTTCGCTGTTCCATCTTACCTTTCTACCCTGTTTCCCAGTGTTCTACCCTCCAACACAGATTAGCATCTTCCCTATCTCTCTGGATTCTTTCTATTGTTCTCTGTCTTCTCTCATACAGGTACTAATCTGCATTTTCTGTACCTGTGCCTTTTCCTTGGGTCTGACACATACACAAAATGGCACCCTCCTCAGGTTGACAGAATATCCCACTTGTTCTATACTTCCTAAAACTAAGACCCTCTGTCAGTCTTGCTAATACCTCTTGGGGATAGCTCATGGCACTACCGGCTGTTGACAAAATGTCCCTTTTTTCCCCCCAGGGGGCTCTTTTGTGAGCATTTATCCACAGTGGGTTTTCCTCGCTTTTTTTTTTCTGTCTTTTCCCCATCTTTTCTCATGATGTGATTGTTTCCTGATGCATTAAAACTGTTATTAGGATATTTCTGTAAAAACTTGAATGCAACCAAAAGCAGTCTTTAGCTATTGCCTGAGAAAAGTTCTTATGTAGAAATCCAAATTCTTGACAGTTCTCATTTCTTCTTTTTTCTCTGCCTAGCCCTTACTATGCGTTACAGACTTACCTCTCTCTACTCCAGTTTCCACATCATACCACCTTCTCTACTTTCCTCACAGGGTTGCTGTGAGGATAAAATGTTTAGTAACTAAAATAAATATTAACATCTTCTAAATATGTGAATAAAACTAGATCACTTGCCTGGTTGATTTTCCAGTATTCTACAATCCGAACTGCGCTGAAATTCACCACTTATATGCCAATTGAATTCTTGATTGAATGGACAGTAGTCAGCAATTTCCACAGAGCCACCATAATAAGGCAAATCTTCTACAGGTATTCCATTGAGGTCATCAAAGTACTACCAGAAAGGATAGAAAAGACAGAGGGAAGAGGAGCTTGTAAAGTCTTCTGTGTCGAGCAGTCAAAATGCAAAGCAAATTTGTGGCACCACGACCAGACAGTCATCAAACATAAAAGTTTCCATGTACAAAGAAGTAAAGAAAGAGAGGTCTGCACAAAGAACTGCAAACCTTCCATGTACAGTCTGTTTGTTTGATTTAAAGTATAGCGCCTCAGATTTAACACAGAAACCCTCAGGCTGCCCTTTCTTTCTGGGCTTCCTTTTGAACCTTAATGTGGACACTGAGGGCAAGTTCATTCTCACAGTGCAGCCCAAAAAAAGAAACTGTTACCTGATATTCCTGGGGCAAGGGCTTGGGGAACTTCTGCAGGTTACACACGGCGACTGCTCTCCGATCTTGTCTGCAGGTTAGCTGCAATGGGTTACTTCTGAGTGTGTCACAATAGGGGGCTAACACTTGTCTCCTGACCACAAAAAGAAGTACTGGGACTTAGAAAATGGCGGCTGTCTATCATGTCTCTTCCATAAAACCTCTAATACATTTACACAATTCAAAAGGAATTAAATTCTAGAATTGGATCAAAACTTCTTTTTCAAAGAAAAAGAGGGCTTCCCAAATTAGAGTAACACATTAATTAACAAGGAAAATGCCTTTTGGAATTGCAATTTATCACAATCTCCAAAAGCTCAGAGAAATCACAAACTAACCATTTCTAGGAAGGTCTGAGATCACCCATTTTACAAAATTCTCAGAGAAGAATAATGCATAATTTCCCCCAGCAACATATTACAGTGTCTTGGATATTTAGGGTTAATAGTTCTTGCCCATAACCTAAATTTCTCATACCACAGTGTAAGAACTCATTCCACCGTTTCTCTGTCCTCGGTGAGAAGAATATTGTTGCTTTATTTGTTGATGAAGAGTAACTTTTAGTTACATATACAAAATGACTAGGCAGGAATTAAAGTTAAGTTCTAAAAAAAATTAATTCTAAAATATTAAAGTCATAGATATTTAGTATTTGTGGTTTATATTTCACCTTGGTTTTCAAAGAAGAAAAAATAGATGATTAAGATGATAAAAATTTTAGCGGCATTAAGAGACAAATCAAATATACACACAGCGTACAGTTTTTTCTGTGTGTAGGTTCAGTGAGCTAGAAATGGACTTGGTCCTGCCTATCACCTTCTGTGCTTCCTAAGCTCAATTGACCTCTTCTCTCCATAAGTATTCCAAGCAGAAGGCCCTGTGAACAAGAGCAGTCACTACAGACCAGGATCACAGACGCCAATTATCTACACTCATGATACCTTGGACTCTGAAAAAAAGCCTTAGGGCAGCAGCCAAAATGGTAGCTAGGAACTGGCTTCTGTTTTCTTGTTCCTAGCTTTAACTGCTCTGCAAATAGAAGATTAAAAGGCTTAAAGACAAGGGCAGAACTTCTTTGAGGGGGACTCACAGCTTCAGGTTTTTGAAGAATAAGAAAAAGGAAATCCCCTTGTGCTGCTAATCGCAAATAATCTCAAAATGGGATTTTCAAAGTAGAAAACTCTCTAAGACCCTCATATGATGATCTTGTTCTGAAGTAACCTCACACTTTGTTAGTGATGAATTTATACTACTGGCTCAATCACTAACTGCTGGCAAGACAAGAAGGCATATGAAAGAGTATTTTAACTGTAAAGCTGTACAGAAATTTCTACTGTGCTGATTATGTGGCATTTTGCATTATCAACATAATCCTATGATAAAAGATGAAAAATAGCAATAAAAACTTATGACCTCAGATGTCTATCTACCAATACCAAATGTTTAGACAATAAACAAAAGGCCCTAGCAGTCTTGATGCAAAGGATTAATTCGACCTCATAGGTATCACTAAGATTGGATGGAACCACAGCTCTTGAAAGGTGTACTTTACTCAAAATACACAGAATAGGTAAAGGGAGGAGGGGTAGAATCAAATATTAAAAAGACATGTTTAAGGGAGGGAATTTAGCAATCAGATAAGGAAAGAATCATGGGGAATATTTGGATAAAAAGTCAAATGAGGGAGAAAAAGAAATGATTTTTGTGAATGTATACTATTGGCCATCTGGACAGACAGAGGAAAGAGATAAAGAGAGTGAAAAACAGATTACAAGCATAGCACAAAGAGGCATAACACAGCAGTGATAGGGATGTCAACTGTCTTAGACATCTGCTGGAGCCTTCTGCCAAGAGGAGAGCAGCTAATAAATTCTTAACTTGCCTTGGTGATAATTTCATCTTTCAAATGATTAAGAAATCCAGGAAAATGCTATTCTGCCTCTGGTTCTGATCAACAGGGAGAAACTAGTTGTTGGGCAGGAATGACGGTAACCTTGAAGAGAAATGACCAGTCATCCTAGAGTCTCTGACAGAGGAGAAGAAATCTAAGAGGCAGTCTAGCAAGCTCCTTACATTGAGGAAAAGCAGATTTCAAAGAGACCCGAGGAAAGATAGTTAGCATCCTATGGATGAAAATGTTTCAGAGGAAGGTATCCCAGGAGGGATGAAAGATGCTAAAAAAATTAAATTATGAAAATACAAAGGAAAACAATTTCAGTGAGTAGGAAAAATGAGATATGTCTAAGAAGACCAATGTGGATGCACAGGGCACTCACCCAGACAACTTGGATTTTAATAAGAAATATAGAGCAAACTGAAACAAGACCAGGCAAGAGAGAAATGACTACAAGAGCATGGCATGGTCCTAGAAAAATGACATTTAGGATGCTAAAGCTCAGAGTGCTGAGGGAAGCTAAGGACTGAAAAAGGGATCTTTCCACTATATTATATCAGGAGAAGAAGGAAGAACAAGGAAGGGAGAAGACCTTTCCTTGGGTGGATGGATTGTAATGATGATAACAACAGGAGGAAGACAGAGTGCTGCTGAATTCTTATCAATTTCTTTTTCTGCAAATGAGAACGACTTTTACGCCAGAAACAACAGAACCCAACAGACTAACGGGAAGCTGATCCACAAGACAGGTGAGGAATCAAAAAGAGAGTACCTAGGTGCCCATGATGGATTCTAGTCATCTGCCTCAGACGAACTGCATCCTGAGCACCTGAAAGAGCTAACAGATATGACTGCTGAGCCACGGCCAGTGATCATGAAAGGTCATTGGACATGGGAGAGGAACAAGACTGGAGAAAGGCAAATGTCCTAATTTATAGAAAAGGAAAGAGAACTGCAAACTCTAGGCCAGTGAGCTTGACTCTGACTTCTGGGAAAACTATGGAAGGGGTCATTAGAGAGCTGGCTGGTGAGCATCCAGAAAGGGAAATGACCATTCCAAAGAGCCAGCAGAGCGGCAGGAAGAGCAGCTTAGGCCGGGCTTACCTCATTCCTTTCTTGACAGGATTACTAAACTAGCAGAGAAGGCCATGCATACGGTTTACCTAGTTTTTAGCAGAGATTTTGATAATGTTTCACTTACAATTCTGGTGGAGAAAACAGAGACATGGATTAGACAATAATACCATCAGAACTCACTGGAAGACTGGTTGTGAGCAGTTTAATGTTAACAGAGCAAAAGTCTCTAGTGGAGTGGCTCAGGGATCTAGGCTTGGCTCTGGGCAGGTTAACATCTTGCGAATGATCCAGATAAAGGCAGGAATGCTACTTTTTGCAGATGACACCCAGCCAGGAAGGACAATTAATACACTGGATGACAGTCAAGATCCTGAAAGGCTAGAGCATTGAGCTGAATCTAAAGAAATAAAACTAAGCAGGGATAAATGTAAAAGACTTGTGTCTGGCTATAAGGAATCAAATTCACAAATGCAAGATGGGGGAGGTATGGCGAGAAAGCAATAGTTCTAAAAAAGATTAGGGTATTTTAACAGACAGTAAGCTCAATAGGAATCATCAGTAGCAGTGTGATATGGCAGCCAAGAATGCTAATATGACCTTGGGTTGCATCAAGAGGCATAGAGCTTCTGGGAAGAGGGAGATGATGGCCTCACTGCACTCTGCCCTCCTCAGGCCTCATGTTGAAGACTATGCTTGGTCCATGGCAACCCAGTTTAAGGAGAACATCAATAAGCTCCAGAGTATCCACAGGAAGTTACCCAGATAGCAAAGGACCTTGAGTCCATGCTATTGGAGGACTGTCTGAAGGAACTGGGAATGATCAATCTAAAGAAAAGAAGACTTAGAGGGGACATGGCAGTTGTCTTCAAAAACCTGAAGGACTACCATGCAATGAGGGATTAGACTTGTTCTATTTGGTTCCAGAAGGAAGAACCAAGGACACAGTGTAAAAGCTGCAAAAAAGGAATATTCAGGCCTGATGACAAGAAAAACTTCGTAAGAAGTAGAGCTGCCCAAAAGCAGAGTGGGCTGCCTCAAAAGGGTGGATTCTCTCCCCTGGACATCTTCAGGCAGGTACTGGATGACCCCCGTGGAAGTTATGTTATAGCTGAGATTCTTTTTGTATATGAGTTGGTCTACATGGCTGTGAGGTCCCCTTCTAACTTTCTCGTTTCTTTGATTTGTTCAAATTTTACACAAATATACATTTTTACATGTCACATTAACCAAAAACAGGAATACCAATCCGAATTCTACTCTATTTTCTCCCTAAATTTAGTGCAAATATTTCCAAACGCAAAATTACAGAGAACCTGTAGAATGTTTTTCTTTAACATTCTAAATTTTAATAATCATTTTCATAGAACCAAATAGCTACACATTTGAAAAGGTTTGTCATTTTAGGTTCAAGAAAATCAGAAACTAAATAAATAATCACATTCAGTTTAAGGAAAACACTTTCTTACTTTTGTTTTTGCTGATCAATCCAGAATTTACAACTCTTCATGACAAAGTCGCATCCCTTACCACGGCCCCAGTCTAAGGTCTCAGCCATGCTGTAATTGGCTTTATACCAGCTGTGAAAATATTTTAAATAAGGCAACTTTTATCACTGTGGTTTTAGAAAATGCCTGCTATATCTATCACAAATCTCAACAATGAAGTAATTAAGAACTGCGTTCTTAATTAAATCAATACACCTTGGTAAACTACTATGATCAGAAATCTTTACTGAGCACGGTGTGGATAAAACCGTATGCAACTTCAATCTTGGATTCTCATAGTTACAACAAGCTACTCTTCCTACTGCGTTATACAAGAATAAATTTCTTGAGAGAAGAAGGGGACAGAGGGATAAAGAGGGCTAACTAGAAGTATTTTAGGACAGAGAATGGTGGGACTAGGGGGAGAGGAGAAGAGAAGAAGAAAATAGAAAAACCACTGGTCATCTTGCTCCCCCTCCAAACTAACTCACTGTCCCATACCTTCTGTTCCAATGATCCTGACAACATCATGGTTATTTAAAGCTCCATAAGGAAAGACATCCCAGCTACCCTGATAATGCCTGCAAAAATTCAGAAACTGCAATGTCGCATTTAACACAAGAGACTGATGGGAGATCAAGCTGTAGTTGGAACAGTCATTCTTTGCAGAAGTTACTGCTCTGTTGAAGACTACTCTGTTGTCCAGATAGTTGTACCTTCCCTATAAATGGTACCGCTCATTAGCTCACTGACAATTACTTGGAGATCATCCTTTCCCCATTCACCTCCCTGCTGCTCAACTGCTATTTTATTAACAGATCATAGCCTGAGATCCTAGGACATCCTGCAGACAAACCTTAAAGAGCTATTTTTTTTAAAATTTTGTGAATTACTATGTAAGCAATAAGCTGATAAGAGTACTGAGCACACAATGGAAGCAGTTCACAAACTTAAGTCTTCTTTTCTGGTGTTACTCCTTCCTCTACAGTACAGGAGTTATGTTACAGTTTGACTAAGAATAAAACATACTGGCAAAAAAGCTTCTATAGAGTTTTCATTTCTGAAGGAAAAACATTATTTTCAGGTATTGCTCTAGATACACAGAAATACTCTTCTGATCTAGTGTGAGAAAAGCTATTTAAAAGTTCTGCCATTTCCATTAATTATTATAGTGAACCACCACAGAGGCTTCCCACAGAGTGCTTCTCCCCCTCCCCATTACTGGCGTCAAAAGGAAACATAAATAGCTATAAAAGGGGAAAGAGGAGGGAGCTAGACAGGAGACAAACATAGTTGGATAGAGTTAGCTTCTTGAGCAGTGACAGGGAATGCTGTTGTTTTGTTGCTATCATTTAGTCATTTCAGTCGAGTCTGACTCTTTGTGATCCCATTTATAGTTTTCTTGGCAAAGATACTGAAGAGATTTGCCATTTCCTTCTCCAGCTCATTTTACAGATGAGAAAACTGAGGCAAACAGGGTTAGATGACCTGCTCAGGGTCACACAGCTAAAAAGTGTCTGAGGCCAGATTTGAAATCACAAAGATGAGTCTTCCTGACTCCAGGCCTGTTGCTCTATCCACAGTGCCACCAAGGAATTGTGAGGGGAGACAACATGTACATAAATTAGAATGAACAAAATATGTAAAAAGTAAATACAAAGTAAATTTTTTAGTGGGAGGGCAGTAGGAGTTGGGAATATAAGGAAAGAATTCACGTAGAAAATGTCACTTAAGGAGAATTTTAAAGGAAATAAAAGGCAGCGGTGAAATGGGAATATATGCTGGGCATGGAAGATATGTATGAAATATTATTAACTATTTAGTCAAATGCAAAGCAGTGCTCACTAGAAGAGGACCATTTATTTTATAGCTATCCTGCCTCATTTCCATCTTTACCTAGGTATGTTTTGGGGTGGTCTCTGGTGTCATTCAAAATTCAAATATAGACCAATTTTAGGTTAGCTGTTGGCTACACACACACACACAAACACACGCGTGCACGTGCGCACAATATTTAAATGATTAATTCTGCTTCAAAGGTAACATTTCAATGTTAAATAAACTCAAAGGTTCACCATATCACAATGTCATGCCACAAATCCTGGTATACAGTTAATCCAAGAAACAACATATCATGGTAGGATCTCATCTTACCCTGTGTCCTCCATTAATGCTAAGGTTATTCGAGAGAGGACTCGATTCTGTGTGTGAGAGCCAGTCATTGCTTCATTCTGAAAATCACAACAAGTTCAGTAAGCCACAGAAAAGAAGCAGCACCAAGATTGACAGAGGTCTTACAAGAAGCATTTAATTTTAATTGCCTTAAGTCAATTAACCTCTCAGGACTTAAGATTGTCATCTGCAAAATGAGGTGGTTATGTAAACTAGATGGTTTCTATGGCTTTTTCCAGGTCTAAAACTTCCTGAGATTACAATAATAATTATTTTTAAATTGTGAAAGAGAAAGCAATTCACTCACTTTAAAAAGCTGAAAAAAAAATAACCCATAAATTTTCTAAAATAAAACAAAAGATGTGTGACCCTGGGCAAGTCACTTGACCTCATTGCCTGCCCCCCCCCCAAAAAACAAACAAACAAAACCAAAACAAAACAAAACAATATAGAAGTACTTAAAAGAAAAGAAGTCCATCCTCTTCCTCAAACCTTTAACTTTTACCACAGACAGCTTCCCTAGAATGACAGGCTAATGACATGTGCAATTATGTGAAGCAAACACCAATGTAACTGTTTTTAAAAAAAGAAATATTCTAAAAAATCTACAATAGATAAAGCTTTCTCTTGGCAAAATAAAGCAAGAAGCTGAGGTAGTTACTGAGTTAACCAAGGGGATGTGGGGGGGAAGGCGGGGGGAGATGTGTGCACAGGAAAGGAGATAAGGAGAGAGAGGAAGAAGAGAGGACTCACTTTGGTTTGAATTACTTGATTAATTTCTCAGTAACTCTCAACTCTGAGGAGCTGAGGTATCACATGGCAACTAAAAACAGGAGCACTTCAACGCTCTTCATTTTATTGCTATAGCTCACAATTTGGAGAAAGGAGGAAGTTGATGGAAACACCATATCCTCGAGTTCTCCATCCTAACATATAGCCTTTATTTCTGCCAAATTGCTAGTATACTAAAAAGACTGACTTGAAAATCAAACCAAACCTGTTTTGGGGGAAAATATTCCTACTTTCATACCTCAGGGATCCATGACTTCATTGGAATAGGATCCTTTCCACATACTGCAATTTCTCTATGCCTTAGTAGATGGCCTTCGTGAATTGCTGAGGCCTAACCAAATCATCACTTGGGGCCAACCTTCTGGCTCTAAAACCATCTGTACTTAGGCCGGATCTCAGATGAGAGAAAAATAGCATTTTGCCAGGTCCCTATTCAAAGTCTATCCAACTTAGTTAAGGACTTGCAGAACTGGTGTTCTGCTGGTAGAACCTCCAAGAACCCACTGTTCTCCAAACCATGATGAGGTATCAAAGTATGACTTTCATAGAATTTAGGGGAAAAAAAGACATAGGGAACTAAAAAAGCATGTAATAACACTAGATGAAATGTTTCAATAATTTTCACAAGTTTCCTATCTTATCCTATTTATACAGATTTCTAATTAGAAGTGCGATCTTGGTAAATATTACACCTAATCTACAACACTACTAACTCTGGTAATAGCTTTAAAAAAAATTTTTTTTTCATTCAAACTGACCTCTAATAATCGTTTTTCCCAGTGGTTCAGCTCAGTGCCTAGACCACCTTGATTTTCAAGTTCCATTCCTTCCAGAATGGGACAATTAAAATGTTTCCGAGCTTCTTCCTAGGAAACAAAACAAATATAAACCTCATTAAATTATTATAATATGTGACACAATTTTTATAATTTTATAAACAGCAAGAAGGATGTTAAACTGTTCGTTGCAATGGAAAGCAATACTGAGGAAAAACAGTATTTAAAATAAATCTTCTATGCTGTCACAATCATCTTTAGTATTTTTCTCTTTCTAACTATTATATTGTGTCTCTGCCTATTTGAAGATTTTGGTTTGGACCATATCAGTTTCAAAAAAGTTACAAATTTGTCTGCCATACATTAATCTTGCTTAGAAACAACTTCTGTTCAATTGCAGTCTGCTAACTTACGGTCCTATTTTGGATACTTTTGTTGGGCATAAGTGTATGGGTGTACGGGTGTGTATAGGTGTGTGCATGTCTGTGCGTGCATGTGTGTGTGTGTGTGTGTGTGTGTGTGTGTGTGTGTGATGGAGATGGGGGAAGGATTAAGGAGTTGTGAGTTCTGGAATATCCAGATTTCCATTTACCCAGATGACTGTACTATATTTACTTTATATTGTTTGTTCCACTAAAAACTATGAAGTAAGACTCCAAAGTTCAAAGAATGTGAAACGATAATAGCAAATTAGATGCCAATAACTGGTGAGAGTGGGAGATAGTTCAAAGAATAAAAAATATTTTAGCAATACTCACAACAACACGAGGTGTTACGAGAAGAAACACACTGTGCGGTATCATCTTACTACCCTGAACATCCCATAATCTCTCCAGTTTTCGAACCACCTTATCACTCCACTGATACAATCCAAGACTACAATTAAAATAAAACATTTCAATTTTTCAAATTTACAGTATAGATACGGTACAAAAGTATGCATGAGAGTTACATCTAGGTTTCTCAGAAAACTATTGCTAATAGTCACTTGTACCAAATAGATGCCATTTCCTTTCCTGTAGTTATTTTTGATATACTACTTCTTCAGTAGTCTGTCCAGTTTGGTATTCTGTCTCTAACAGAAGCACCAAGAGAAACAATGCATAAAGGTCTTGACTGTTCTACAATGTCAACTTTGAAGGTCAGGGACTTAGGGATAGACCCTCATTCATAACACTTTCTTTTAGAAACTAACTTATTTGTTGTTGTTATTCAGCTGTTTCAGTCATGTCCAACTCTTTGTGACCCCATCTGAGGTTTTCCTGGCAAAGATACTGGAGCTGTTTGTCATTTTCTTCTCCAGTTAATTTTACAGATGAGCAACTGAGGTAAATAGGGTTAAGTGACCAGGGTCACACAGGTAGTAAATATCTGAGGTCAGATTTGAACGCATGAAGAACGCATGGAGAATGCGTAAGTCTTGCTGAGTGCAGGACCAGAACTCTATCCACTACGCCAACCAACTGCCCCAAATAACTTATTTACCAGGAAGTATTTAGAGTAACTATAATATACCTAGCACAATTTCTTCATCTTTAGAATGTGGATAATTGTTGCACTATCTACTTTAAAGGTTTATTATAAGAATCAAATGAAATTAGGTTTGTAAAGTGCTTTGTAACTGTGAAGTACTACAGAAATGTGAATTATTATTTTTATTAATCCTGTCCAGGGTTTTTGGATGAAAACACAGAGGGCTATGTTTATCAGATCTACAGATAGCAATAAAGATGGCAAGGATCCACCGTATATTGTCATTTCATTAATTCAAAAGGCAGCATCCACGCCTGTCCATTCGACGCTCTTGCGTCGGTCCTCCTTAACTTCACCACAGGGGATCCATCCAATGTGCTAGAGGCCTTCCTCACTTTCTCCTGACAATGCTAGCGTATCAGCGGAGGACTCTAGCTGCCCAACCTCTCATCACCTGTCCTTACCACATGATGAGCCCACATTCTCTCTCTTTCATACAATTCCCTGATACTGTCATACACTCTTGTTCATTAGAGGACCTCCTTGATTAGGTTACATCTTGTTCACGTGCACCACACGCCTCTCCACTACCCTCTCTCTCTGTGATATTCATTTTAAATTCTGCTGAGGAGGTTGCATTGCATGTCTCACTGTCACACCAAAATAGCACTGACAAGATAGGAGTCGCCCAACGTGGCAGAGTAAAGGCCGGGAACCAGCTGAACTCTCAACATCCCCCTCCAAACAATGTTAAAATAACGCCTCAAATCAAATCCTGGCACGGCAGACCCAATAAAAGGTCAGAGCAGACATTCCCTGCCCTAAGACAACTTAGGAAGTCTGCAGGACCTGCGTGTGCACTCCCATGTAAGACTGTAAACAGTTTAATTCCATCGAGGCACCTCACAATGACTCTTTCATGCGTACCTTTTACCTCCTACGGACCTAACAGAAGGATCAGAAAAAATTTTCTGAAGAAAGGTGAGATTTTAACTGCGGTCTGAAGGAAACTAGTGAAGTCAGGAGAAGGAGATGAGAAGGGAAAGCATTCCAGGCAAGAATGACAGACAAAGAAAATGCCCAGAGTGGGGAAATGGAGTGTGTTACAAGAGTAGAGCAGCAAGAATACCGCTGTCACTGAATCAAAGAGTACATAGAAATGAATAAAGTATAAAAAGACTGAAAAGGAAGGAGGAGGCCGGGTCATAAGAGCTTTAAATACCAGAGGGTTTTAGATGGGATCCTGAAGGTTACAGGGAACGACTGAAGTCTGCTGACCGGTCACAGTCAGGCCTATGCTTTGCGAAGATGAATTTGACAGCTGAGTACGAGGGATGAAGTGGAGAGGGGAAGACTTGAGACAGGGAGGCCAACCAAGAGACTGCTGCAATAGCCCAGGCATGAGGCGATGACAGCTTGTACCAGAGTGGCAGAAGTGCGCAAGGAGAGAAGAGGGCACATGTGAAAGGCATTACAAAGAAAAAGTCAGCAGTGTCTGGCAACAGATTGGATGTGGGGGGGTTGAGAAAGACGAACAGGGAACGACAATCAGGTTGTGAGCCTTGGTGACTGGGTACCCTGGACAGTATGAGGAAAGTCTGGAAGGGGGAGGATTTGGAGGGTGAAGAAAACTGGTTCAAATTTGGACATGTTAAGTTTGAGATATCTATAGAACATACCATTTAAGGTGTTCAACAGACAGCTGAAAATGCCAATCTAAAGGTTAGAAGAGGGGATAAATGGATCTGAGAACCATCACCATTGAGATGATAATTGAATCCATGGGAGCTGATGATAACGTCAGCAAGTAAACTAGTATAAAGGAAGAAAATAAAAGGGTTCAGAACAGAGCCCTGAGTGACACCCACCATTGGCAAGCACAACCTGGATGATGATCTAGTAAAGGAGACTGAGGAGGGGTCAGACATAGAAGGAAGAGAGTCGGGAGACAATAGTGTCAGAAGAAATGAAGAGGGAAGAGAGTGTCAAGGAAAACAAAGGAATTGATAGTGTCAAAGGTTGTAGAGAGGTCAAAAAAGATAAGGGCTGAGAAAAGACCAAGTAAATTGGGCATTTAAGAGATCACTAGAGGGATAGATAGGTGGTGCAGTGCGTAGAGCACCCGCCCTAGATTCAGGAGGACATGAGTTCAAATCCGGCCTCAGACATACAACACTTACTAGCTGTGTGACCCTGGGCAAGTCACTTAACCCCACTGCCCAGCCCCAGCCCCCCCCCTACAAAAAAAGAATTTATAAGAGATCACTAGAGGGGTAGATAGGTGGTGCAGTGCATAGAGCACCGGTCCTGGAGTCAAGAGAACCTGAGTTCAAATCCAGCCTCAGACACTTGACACTTAATAGCCATGTGACCCTCAGCAAATCACTTAGCCCTGAAGGCCTTGCCAAAAAACAAAAAGAGAGAGATCATTAGTAACTTTGGAGATAGTTTTGATTAAAGGATGAGGTTGGAAGTCAGACTAGAGAATTAAGAAAGTGAGAGGAAAGAAGGTAGAGGTACCTATTATCAACAGCCTTCTCAATATGGGATGATAGTTAACAGGGATGGAAGGACCAAGTGAGGGTTTTTTGAGGATGACAGAGACATGGGCATATTTGTAGGCAGTAGAGAACGAGCCCATAGACACGGAGAGAGTGAAAATAGAGATGACATAGGGGTAAACTGCTGGAGGAGACGGGACAGAATGGGATCACTTGTGCACATAGAGAGGTTTGCTTTGGCAAGGAGAAGGGCCACCTCTTCATGTGAGACTAGAGTGAAGGAGGAAATAGAGGCAGAGAGAATTTAGGTGATGTCAGATAAGAAGGAAGGGAAAAGAGGGAGCTCGAAGGGAATGGCCTCCATTTCAACCTTGAAATACCAGACAAGGTTCTAAGTTGAGAGGGTGTGGGGAAAGATGAAGCCATGGGAGGTTTGAAGATGGATGAAAAGTGTGGAAAAGCCTCTGTGGTGAATGGGACAGTGTGTTAATTAGCAATGAACAAGACTCAGATTCAGGCCTTTTCTTCTTCAAGCTAAACATCCCATTTTCTTAACTGACACTATCTTGAGACCGTTCAACATCCCGACTCTAAACACTCCAGTTTATCAATGTTTTCTCTAAAATGTGGCTCCCAGAACTGAATACAACCCTCCAGATATGGTCTAACCAGGGCAAAGTACAAAAGGACTATCCCTTGCCTGGTCCTGACCACTGTCCCACTTTTTCTTTTGTTTTGTGGTGTGTTGTTTTAACTGAGTCTTCCTATCTCAGCAAGGCTGTAAGTGCCATGGCTTCTCATGGGCCTGATCCTACTGAAGATCAGAGGCTTTAACCTATGCCATTTCTGACTTGGGCCTGTTTGATCCTCCTTAGATAGTCCTTCAGTCTTGTGACCCTAAGAGCTTGCCATCGTGGTGACAAGACTTAGGGCACAAACCCACTTGGCTTAATCTACTTTATCTCAGAACTCCAAAACTCAAGTGATTCACCAGCCTCAGCCTCACCGTAGCAGGGATCATAAGCATGCATTACCAGATCTGGCTTACCTATCCCAACTTTAAATGCAGCTTAAAATCACACTAGCTTTTTTGACTGTCATATCATACATAGTGTCGACTCATATTTAAGCTTAAATCCATTAAAACATCAGGTGTTCAGATGAACTGCTACCATTCAACTCCCTTCTCTTATGCTTGTGAAATTGACAATTTGAACCTCTACGGACTTTAAGTTTATCCCTATTAAATTTCATCTTATTAGATGGCTTTGGATCCTTTCACGCAAATATAATAGCTACTCCCCTATGCCTTTATCCAAGTCACCAACAAAAAAAGTTAAGCCACATAGAGCCAAGTGCAACTTCCAAGTCAACGTCAAACCACTAATGGCTTGCTCATTCAACCAGTTCCAAATCCATATAAAATGCACTCATAAAGTCCACATTTTTTCTTCTTGTCCACAAGAATAACATGAGACCTTTTAAATGCTTTGCTAAAATCTAGGTATATTTACTGCATGTGTCACTGGCATATTTCAGAGACGAATCTCTGACAAAAAAGTTAAATAGGTGAATGAAAAGGGCTTATTCTTTTTTTTTCAACACAAGTACCAAGAGAAAGGAGAAATGAACCAGTAATACTCAATGTTAAATGAAAGAGGATTACACTTAAGAATTATACCTAACTATACTTGAGAATTTGGTTGCTCTCAAAGTTCACTCTGAAAGTATTATTTATATTTATATTTATCTGATATTAGTTTAAATTTAACTATCTAAAATATTTTAATATAAAAGGTATGAAAATTTATGATTACAAATCCATGACCGGTGTCATAGAAATTATTAACTACTTATAATTGTTATTGGAATTTTTATTTACTTTCAGTACAACTTATTTTAGGTCCTGAACCTGAGCACCATGCTAATCTTTGTTCATTAAAACATTCCCTGACTATATACCTAGGCTTATCATTTTTTACCCAATGAAAGAAACAAAAATGAGAAAACAAATACCTGCTATTAAAAGGCGGTAAACCACTTGCATATCTTGAAGTCAGAGGTTTTCCATCTTTATCATGGTAGAACGCAAAAAGCCCGGCAGAGAAACCCTATTAAAAAAAAACAAACCACAAAATATTTTTAAGAGACAATTACACCAACAGTGGGACAAACATCAGTTCGTCACACACTAAGCTGTAATTGATACTGTGAAGAGCTAGTGAAGTATAGGACGATTCTCCACTTCACTAACAACGACTTGGCTATCCCTCTGTTTTACAGTTCTCTGTTATCAGACTTTCAGTTTGGTAGAAAGAGATGTGAACATGGCAAAACTGTTTTTGATGAAACTACATAGTTTAACCAGCATCACAACGGCTTAGCTGCTCCCAGCAGACTCCACTGCTGCCTCTGCCTCACTCACAGAGCAGGCAGCCTCATGAGTATGGTTTATGCTGAATCACAAGATCGGGGCCCCTCATGCACAGCTAGGCTTTGGTACCCTGAGAGTTTTCATTTATAATCGGGATAATAACCATTTCACACAAGGGTATTCTTAGATGCTTAAATTTCACCCTTGAAATACAGAAATCCCATAATGTTTTTAAGTACCATAAATTATTTGATATGAAAGGCTATTTCCTAACTTAAGCACAAAACAAACCACTTTCTTGCTATTACTTTAATTATCATGACCCAGTTTACACAACTAGAATGTGCAATAGCTAATATCCATAATTGATGGATACTATTCATATAATTAACTTAATTCAACAAATTAACTAGGCAGTTCATCTGTGCTGGCATTTTTGTTCTCAACCTATTTGTTTAACTATTGACTCGTGTCATTAGAGACTTATAACCTAAGCATATCATAGTAGTGTTTGTTCTTTTGTCCCTACAACATTACTGGATTTTTATATTGTTTTGACATGCTAAGACAACCTAATGCAATTTACTAGAATAAGAAGAGGAGAATTATAAAACTGAAAAAAAAATTAAAAATATGATTATGGTAGAGTTAAGAAAATAAACTACATTTTACCACATCCTTTTTAACAGACATTGAATACATATTCTGCTATCTTGTCAGGCTGAAAAATTTTGTAAGCATTCAAAATTTTTACCAGCCAATCTCACATTCATACTGTGCTCAGTACATAAGTAATAGACATGAGCATCTACAATCTTATATATATGTATATTGTACATGTGTTGGGGGAGGAAAGGGAGTATATATATTTTTAAGAGACAGCATTGGATAATGAAAAGAAAGTTGGTCTTGGAGTTAGGAGACCTAAATTTGAAGCATGGCTCCAAATTTAAAAGTTATATGACTTAGAAGTCACCTAAACTACTTGAACTGATTTCTTCATCTGTCTTCTACTCACGAGGAAAGTGATTCATAAACTTTAAAATACTATATGCTAAGGAGTAGCTAGGTGGTGCAGTGGATAGAGCACCGGCCCTGAATTCAGAAGGACCTGAGTTCAAATCCGAGCTCAGACACATAACACTTACTAGCTGTGTAACCCTGGGCAATTCACTTAACTCCATTGTCTAATCAAATAAAAAAAATAATAAAATACTATGTACTAGGACAGGAGAAATGCAACATGTCTATGATTTAGGAGATTTAAGGAGTTGTCTAAGGCAGGGGGAGATTTGAACCTCAGGTCTTCCTAAGTCAGAGCCCAACACTCTATACCCCCTCAGGCCTTTCAAAAGTGCAATACATAGAGGTATTCTTACAATTCACAATGACAGTAATAACTTTAAAATGAATTATCTACAAAATTGGTTTTTAAGGAATAAATCAATTTTCTTCTAAGTCCAGAATCCCTATGCCTAGGCTTATTTGTAGAATTATTCATATTATGATAAAACTATAACCAAATATTCCCTTTCGATCTTCTCTTCTTCTCAAGATATTGAGCATCTATAACAATACCTTCTCAGAATACCTTCCTCTTCTATGACTGGGAGATTCAATTTCACTGGTTCATAAAATGAAAACATAATTTGACTCAGAATGACTTTATGAAGCAAATTCAGCACTACCTTAATTTGCTAAATCAAGGTAAAGTTTCATCTGGTTTAACTAAATTTTTAATGATTAAACATAGTGAGAATTATGTAGATAGAGTATTAGAGTATATGAACAGGATAGAGAGTACATAGGGAATATGGAGTAACAGAAAACATTAGTTTACAATTCACTAACATCTGTTTTCCAACTATGAGTTATGATAGAATATTATATAATATTTAATATATGATATATAATAGAATATTAAGTGCCAGAGCTCAGTTTGTTTCTATTTTATTGTCTGTCTATCCTAAGCCTAGCACAGCGCCTTTGCACATAATAGGTACTTAATAAATGCTCCTTAAATTGAAATGAGTGAAGTCTATATGTTCTTAAAGAGGAAAACTGCCAAAGATTCAAGAGTATTTTCTTTTAATTCCATGATATTACTCCATTAAATATCATGAAAGATCTTCCTAATTATCCTCTGATTAGAAGGAAGGTATTTACAAATAAGTGGAAAAACCTGGATTATAGGATACTTTGAAAAATTCTAATTTAAGTGGGTGTGGTAGTCTATAATCCCTATTACTGGGGAGGCTAAGGCTAGTAGACTGCTTGAGCTCAGGAGCTGAGCTGCAGAATTAAGTCTGACACCCATATGGTGAGTTCACAGGAAGTGAGGGCTGGTAGTCTACGTGAACAGGTCCATGTTGGAAATGGAATAGGTCAAAGCTTTCGTGCTGATCAGCAGTGGGGTTGGCCCATGCATGGCTGCTGCACTTGGTAAGACAGGGAGACCCAGTCTCAAAAACAAAATTTTTAAAAATGCAGTTTTATTATTTTAAAGCCCTCAAGTAACTACAAATAGACTACCAAACTTTTGTCTAGTCAAGGTAAGAAAGTTGCTTACTTAAATGAATATATACAAACTATGGAAAAGATGGGAAAATAGGTTTTTAAAAGCAGTTTGGACAGTCCTTTAGATCCCATTTAAACTTTTTATTTTTTAAATATTTAAACTATTAATTTCTTAGCAAATATATTCATTAGAGATAATGCAAATACATACATTGCCCCATCCTTATCCTAATTATAAAGATTTTGAATTAGTAGAATCTTAATTGATAAAGTTTTATTATATACAAATGTAAAGACCTACCCTTGGTTTTACATTAACAATAATTTATCAAGATAAAAGGGTTAAGAAGCAAGGGATAAGAGAGGTAACCTTGACAAAGTGGCTAGGAGTCATGAAGACTTGAGTTTAAGTGTCCCCTCTGACTCACACTAGTTAATTAATGCTGGAGAAGTCACTTAATCTCTCAAACAATTGGTAAATGGAGCTTCCTCATGAATAGTTCTCAACAGCTGCAATATCACAAATGCGGTCTCCCCCCCACCCCCAACACTGCCCCTCTAAAAAGCAGGAGATAAGAGTATGAGGAAAAGAGCAAACAGAATACATAATGCAACATATCTTCAAATAACAAAATTTACCAAGGCATGAATAATCTCATGTTTCACTGTGGACAACATTCCAATAAATTCCTGAGGTTGAGTAGAAATCATATTTGGACATAGGTTAGCATATCCTGCTACTGGCCTGTTAAAATAGATAGTACATTATGTGTTAAGCTGCAGAACAACATTAATTCATGATTTAACTGTCTACAACTCAATTACTGGCTACCATTTTGAGACACAAGAAGGCTGCTAAATACAAAGAATGCTTTTGTGTCAGACCATTTCTTACTGTCCCCTCCCCTCAAGGGGAGGCTTTTTATGTGTATGTTAATCACAGTATCAACAATCAATCAATAATCAACAAGGATCTATTAACTGACTACCATGTATCAAGTGATTAGGATATAGATACAAAGAATAAAACAATCCCTGCACTCAAAGAGAGTAAAATGCAGAAAGATATGAAGAGAATAAAGAGAGACAATAGGGGAGATGCGGGCACATGGGAGATCAGGAAAGACTTCATGTGGAAGGAGGTGGCTGAACTGTATCTTGAGGAATGTGAAGGATTCTCTGAGGCCGTGGTGAGGAGAGAGTGACCACAGGCATGAAATACGACCAGTGTACAGAGATTGAAAATGGAGTGTCATATGTGAGGAACAGAAAGGCCAGTGTGGCTGGATCAGAGAGCTCAGGAGGCAGGTAATGCCCAGAGACATTGCAAAGGTAGGTTAAAACTAGGTGCTGAAGGCCTTTAGAAGCTAAATTTGAGCAGGTGCTTAACAAATGCTAGTCGTCTGATTTGAGAGGCAATATGAAGCCACTGGAGTTACTGAGTAGGACAGTCAAACAGTCAGACGTGCATTTAAAGGAAAGTCACTTTGGCAGCTAACTGGAGGCTGAATTAGAGTAGGGCAAGACTTGTGGCATTGCCTAAACTAGAGTGATGGGTGTACAATTGGAGAGGTCAGATGAAAGCAATGTGGAAGTAGAAATGGTGAGATTTAGTAACTGACCGGATTTGTGAATAGCAAATGATGATGTCAAAGTTATGAACCTGGAAGACTAGAAGAATGGTGGTGCTTTCTGAGGAATACCTACATTAGGAAGATAGGTGGGGGTTTGGGGAAAATGTGAGTTCAGTATTGGACGTGCTCAGTTTAAAATGTCTCTGGGACACTCACTTTGAAATATCTGTTAGGCCACTGGTGGTGTGGGGAATGAAGCTGAGAGGACATACTAGGTTTGGATATATAGATCTGGGAGTCATCTGCATAGAGCTGATAGTTAAAAACCATGGGAACTGATGAACTTACAGAGAGAAAAAAATGGAAGAGAAGGGAAAAAAAGCATAGGATAGAGCCTTGGGGAACACTCACAAATAGGAAGTGTGATATAGTTGATGAGTCAGATGAGGAGTGGTTGCACAAAGAGAAGAGACAGGAGAGAATACTATCATAAAACCCCCAAATATCCAGGAGGAGAGAGTAATTAACAGTATCAAATGCAACAGAGGGGTCAAAAAGGATGAGACCTGAGGAAAAATTGTTGTGGAAGTAAAATTGACATGGATTGGGTGGAGCCTAAGAAAGAGAGAAAAGTCACAGAAGATTCCTGGGTTTCAAGCCTGACAGACTAGAAAGATAATGGTACCCTCAATAGATGTAGGAAAGTTTGGAAAGGAAGTGGTAGAGAGGGAACATCAGTTTTGGATGTTTTGAGATTGAGATACCTATGGGCATATAGGTGGAGATACCCAGAAGGCAAAGGAAATATGGGAATGGAGATCAGGAGAAACATTAGGTCTAGACATAAAGCTTTGGAAGTCATCTATCCTGAGATAACTGAGCCCATGGAAGCAAAGAAGAGTCCATGAAGCAGGAAGAGCGGAAAAAGAAGAGCTTATCCAGTAATGACTGATGGGGAAAAAAAGAAACCAATAAATCCTACTTTAAAAAAAAAGAGAGAGTGGTTCTCTCCTTCAGTTACACCATTGTTTCTGACCTAAGAGCATGGCATTTCCCCATGCCCTGAAGGGAACAGAGTAATGATCCATTTTGGAGAAGAAAGAAGTCTCTTTGATTATTTCAATAAATTGGAAACATCTCTTAGGTACACCATTGACCGGTGGCAAAGGAGAAATTTTGAAGGCAGGGGTTAAAAGGAGATTGAATGGTTTTAGAAAAATCATTTTCCAAGGGTATGCCATCGACATAAATGACTACTATCCTATTTGACAAAACAAACTATTAACTGAACTTTTACTGAGACCCATAACTATATTTTATCAAATTGTGTAATCATGTCTATTGTTAAGAAATGTTATAATTCTGACTCCAAAACAGCCTGAGTTAGAGAAAGGTTTTCAGAGTCATGAGGTGGCTTTGTCCATCTTTAGTCCTCTCTCTAAGCAGAAATTCTTAGATTAGAGCAATCCAAAATAACAAGAATTATTTCTGATAGGCTTGTGCCAACAACCCAGTGTACAAAATGTCCTTTCACAGTATATAGTGATAGCAATGCAAATAAATAAAGAAAGGAAAGAGCATCAATAAACATTTAAAATATACACAAAAGAAAACAAAACAATTCAGAAAGAAACACTATGGCAATTTTGTTACTACTTTGCTAAATTTAATATACATTTTATGAAACAAATTACATAGTAAATTCAAGGTATAATATACATCCCTTTTTTGTCATCTTTGTATATTGAAATATTAAGTTCATAGTAAAAAATATTTTTTAAACAAAGTAAAATTAGGATTAAAGTTTACCTGTCCATCTCTGCTTCCTGCTGGCAATAGGCGGCATAAGCAATGATATTTTCTTGGCTGCACCTCTCAGTGGTTAGAGCACTAACATAGAGCACAAAGTCTGCGTCCTTAATGCCTTCGTTGCCTGATGATCTACCCATCCGTTCAGACTCACTACAAACCCAACATTGCTGACCAAACGAAGTTCAAGGGAAAACAAAAAAAATGAAGCTATTAGTTGACTTTTGAAAGCATACATAGAAAACCAAAACATAAAGGTACAGCTTTTCTATAACATGCCATTATCAAGGTTCATATTTCATTGTATTACAGAATCTGAGTTGGAAGGGACTTGCAAGTCAGCTAACCCAGCCTCTTTCACCTACTCATCTATCAAGCCCCTAAATTTCCTATTGGGTTTGTTTTGCTTAAATCATTTGTTTCTATTACTATGATTATATCTCTTTAAGTCTCAATTAAAATATTACAAATGACTAGGATTTGTGAAACACTGCAAATGATCTTTAGAAAAAGGAGAAACAGACACAAAACTTTAAATCACATCATTCCCGGAGATATTTAACAGAACCAATTTAAAAACAAAACAAAACAATAGGGAGTCTATACCTGCACCAATGGGTGCTTTATTAGAACAGAAAAAATGAATGGTAGATTTTCACAAACCTGCCTTAACTGAGCCTAGGATAATCTCCCAGCCTATCTATTAAGGAAAGTGATGGATGTGATTATCATATGCTTGATTTGAAGTCCACACACTAAGACTTAATATAAAAAAGAAATTTAAAAAATAAATAAAAATCAAGCAATTTGATTGCATTTACATTGATGTGCAAGTGCTAAAAGAAGGCTTTTGTGAGTTCCAGCTGCAAGAAAATATCTATAAAATAAATGGTGTTTCATATATCACAGATACTGTGTCCAGGAAATGAGGAGATTAAAACCCCTGTAAAGTAATTAGCAGCTATACTCTCTAAAATTATTTCACCACTCTGTTCTTGAGAAATTCCTATTAATTCTACTTTGTAATTGATTTTATGTTGTATTGATTTTTGTACCTGAGTCTGAATCTGCTTAAGTCCCCTTTCTATGTTCTTGAGTTGAGCTCAGGAATTGAGCTTTCTCTCTAAGTTATCTTAAAATTAAAATCAATGGGAAAAACTATTATCTAACATGCCTTCAGCTCCTGGGATACTTCCAGGACATCTATTTGTTACCTTTAAGCCCCAGAAGTTAATTTAATGCCATCCCCAAAATATGTCATCTGTCCTTGTGCAATTAGGGAAATATTTATCTCTTCCAAGGAGACACTAAGTCTGGTAGTTTGATCCCCTAGCAAAGATTGTAAGATGCAGATGGGTCCCACAAAGCAATGAACATTCCTAAATTGACAGAAATGGGTGACTAATAGCTTCATGCGGGTGCTAGCCTGCTTTCCTTGATGTAACCAATCATGTTGTTTCCACCCCCCTCCCCCACCTCACCCTCCCATATGCTGTCTACACTGTAACCAATTGCATTGTATTCCCCACCTACTCAACTCTGTTCTGTGTTCCCTTGTACTTCCCAAGACTATAGAAAGCAGGCCTGCACAATCTGCAGCCCACCAAAGGATTTCAGGTGGCCTGTGGAAAAAACATTCTCTACATTTTTTTTGCAGCGGCCCAAAATCCTTTGACATGCTGTGAGTGGCCTGAGGGCTGTGAGTGGCCTAAGGGCTGTAAGTGGCCTGCAGGCCACAGGCTATACAGGCCTGTTATAAAAGGTAGTAAGCCCTATCGTGTGGTCTCTGGTCATTGAGGGAGGCCACTGACTCAATTTATGGGATACTGCTAGCCTACCAATAAGCTGATCATGGTCAGACCTCTGTCTCCCCTTAGTTTATGTTAATATTCAAATGCAACATTATCTGGGCTGTGTCTTGTAATGGACAAAGATAAAGTGGATCAGAGCTGAGAGGGCTTCAGGTTTTAACGGAAGAAAAAATGGCAAAAAGGAAAGTAACCTTCAGTGATTCTGCACCCTGTCTACCCTTCCAACTTTCTGTCATGATTACCCTTCATGTAAACTCCTTGAGGGACATAGACCATATCTTAGTTTCTAGCAGTGTTTTGTAATTAGTTCAATTTAAAATTTTATTAGATGTTTAAAAAAATTAGGAGAGGTAGATTTGAGTCAAGCCATAGGGAGTCAAGTCCCACTTCTGACACATTAGGCTGGCTGACCCTGGGCAAGTCACATAACCTTCCTGAGCCTAGGCTATTTTCTAAAACTCTAAGTTGAAAAAGATTATAGATCATGAATGGCAGAAAGAGTTTTCACACCGGATTTGTCTTGGCAGATAAGACTCCCAAATATATTATATTGTGTACAATTCATATACTTTTAAACACAGGAAAACTTTATTTTCTTTTTAAGCTTTAAATTTCTTTTTTTTTAATCTGAACTTATGATTTCACTGTGGTTAAGGAGGTTATAGTGTGAAAATTCTTTCTGCTAATCTAATAAAAATGACAACTCTACCTAAGTTAATTTACCTATTCAGTGTCATACCAATTAAACTACCAAAAAATTATTTTATAGGCTAGAAAATCTGCTAATCTAATAAAAATGACAATTCTATCTCAGTTAATTTACCTATTCAGTGTCAGCAATTAAACTACTAAAAAATTATCTTACAGAGCTAGAAAAAACAATAACAAAATTCATTTGGAAGAACAAAAGGTCCAGAATATCAAGGGAATTAATAAAATTATATGAAAACATTATCCCATTAATAAACATAGGATGAAACTACCTGAAGATGTTCTTCAGGCACTCGGATGGGACCACACTTGGTATGCTCGGCACAAGAGTCTTTACAGTATCTGTGGGGATCATTTTTCTTTCTTATATATTGGTTCGTTGCACATTGTCTTCAGTTCATTTGTACAGAAGTTATCACGAGGAGAAAAACAGTTAAAAGAGTCATAACAGTAAAAACATTGGAAAAACAAGTGGCTGCTTTATTCTATCACAATTACTGCTCGTTACTTTAGTAAGAAAAGTGAGCAATTATTGTTACAAGTAAACCTTGTAAATTCATCATTTAAAATATTTGATCTTTAATTCATATAGCCAATAACAGGAAGCAAAAAAAGAAAAAAGAAAAGAAAAGAAAGAAGATCAATATCACAGGCACTCTTTTCTCTTGGCCTTATAATTTAATTCCTAATTTAAAGCTTTTACATACATACCACTACCATAGTACTGTTTCTTGGGGTCTACATCTATCTTCCGTGCTCAGGGAGGAACTACTCTACTACATTCATTCACAGTAGCTCTGGATATAGACAGATATAACGGGTTCAGTCTCAGGAGTTATCCCCCAAATCACTTTCTCTTTAGCTTATATTGGCCTCACCCAGAATTGCCTCTGGCAAATCTCAGGATATAGACCAAATGGAATTCATGCTTCATGTCTATGTCCCCACAGATGTGGGTAAAGAGGTCCCCAGGTCCTGTACAAGGACTAAAGATAACAAATTCACATAACTGGTGCAGGATAGTTTTTATTCCTTTCCATATAAAATATAAAAATACAAAGCCATAAAGGTCTCACATAAAAAATTAATGTAATTTTCCTATCTTTCTGGTGAATAACACTTCTCCCTAATATCCTACAGTTCACTAGAATCATCACACCACCCAATGGTTTGTACTCCTCCAGGAAGTGAAAAGAACTGGAATTCTAAGAGTAGGGTAACCCCCAACGTTCTGGTGAGCCCTGTTTTGTTCCAGAGATCCACACATGAACATCGATACGGGAATTCAGCCTTACCATACCACACTTAGGGTTTGACTCATTCAGAAGACAAACACCCTTGGGGTTGCTAGACTGGTGATATTCTCCTCAAAATTGTACAGTAACTGACAGCAACAGTGGAAGGCAAGGTCCAAGTCATTTGCTCCCCTCTGTTGTCACCAAAATTTCCTTGTAGCTCATCCAGCTTTAGTGTATAATCTTCTGTTCCGAGAGGCTGGTACTGCTCAAGAACTCCCCTCTCTCTCCAGAAAGCTGGATTCTCACTCTTGAAACTGGGGTTGCTAGAAAAAACTTTGAGGCTGGCGCTACCCAGGAAGTTCTCTTCTCTTGCCAGAGGGCTGGATTCAAGGACTATGAAAACAGAGAACCATTCTCTCCTTTATCCAAGAGCTAAGGCTCAAGAATTCTCACTATTCAGAGTATACTGTCCCACTTGCAACAGCTGCCATAACTTAGGCTAAGAGGTTAAACCATTTCCTCTCAAAGGTTGGGGCTGAGAACTTGGGTTCCACGAACTCTCCTCTCTTGCCAAGTGAGAGCATGTGCAACTACCATGTTTCTTTGCATCGAGGAAACATTAACATAGCCTGATGAGGAACCCTCCATAACTCATGACCCAGATCCAGGTCAAATGTTAGCTCCACTGCTCTCTGATCTGTCCTCCAAAAATGGAGAAAAAAGGAAAAGTCCATGTCTGTAATTGAAGACTCCCTTTTATAGGCCAGTACAAAGGAATATCTTCAACATTTAAGCCGAATAATCCTCACTCATCACTGAGACTTATTTCCACAAAATGCCAAGGGGATGGAAGGTGTATTGAAGATACAATAAAAAGTCTTATACAGACTTATTTATAGATTGAACTGACTTATTTCTATTGAAACAGAATTTCAATATGTCTTTCAAACTAGGAAAATTTGGAAACATAGTGGTTTACTAGAAAGGGAAGCAAAGAGAATTATGAAAGACTTCATGGAAGAGGTGGTATTTGACCTGGGCCTAGAAGAAATGTGATGTGCAGAGATTAAAAGCAAGTAGTATGTAGAGAAGAGATTAAAATGAAGAGTGCTAGCATAGACAAAGAGTAAGAAATACAGGGGTGGCAAAGAATTGGAAATTGAGAGGATGTCCATCAATTGGGGAATGGCTGGACAAGTTGTAGTATATGGATGTAATGGAATACTATCGTGCTATAAGAAGTGATGAGCAGGCAGACTTCAGAAAAACCTGGAAAGACTTGTATGGACTGATGTTGAGTGAAGTGAGCAGAACCAGGAGAAAGTTGTACATAGTAACAGCCACGTTGTGCGATGACTAACTTTGATAGACTTAGCCCTTCTCAGCAATGCAAGGATCTAAGACATCTCCAAAAGTCTCATGATGGAAAATGCTACCCACATCCAAAGAAAGAACTATGGAGTTTGAATGCAGATCGAAGCATACTATTTGCTCTTTTTTTTCTTCTGTTTTGTTTTGTTTCCTCTTTCTAGTGGTTCCTCCTGTTGGTTCTAATTCTTCTTTACAACATGACTAATGTGAAAATATGTTTAATAGGAATGTATACGTACAGCCTATATTAGACTGCGTGCTGTCTTGGATGGGGGAGGTGGGGAGAAAAATTTAAAACTCAAAAGTTTATGAAGTGATTTTTGATAAATCAAAATAAATTAATAAAAAAAAGAAAAAAGAAAAAAAAAGAAAGCACACAGGATAACTAGCAAACAGTGAATGTAGTTGTTTTGGAATATCAAGGGTATATTCATTTACTCATTAATTTTTTATTAAATACCTGCTACATGTAAATATTACTTGAATGTTCCGTTCAGTCATTTTTCAGTCATATCCAACTCTTTGTGACTCCATTTGGGGTTTTCTTGGCAGAGATACTGGAGTGATTTGCCATTTCCTTCTCCAGCTCATTTTACAGATGAGGAAATTGAGGCAAACAGGATGAAGTGACTTGCCCAGGGTCAAATAGCTAATAAGTGTCTGAGGCCAGATTTGAACTCATAAAGATGACTCTTCCTGATTCTAAGCCCAGTGCTCTATCCACTGTGCCACCTAGCTGCCCTACCTAAATGCAGTAAACATCTAATAAAATTTTAAATTGAACTAATTACAAAACACTGCTAGAAACTAAAATATAGTCTATGTCCCTCAAGGAGTTTACATGAAGGGTAATCACAACAGAAAGGTAGAAAGGGTAGACAGGGTGCAGAATCACAGAAGGTCTTAAAACCATGTTAAGGAGTTTGAACTTTATACTATAGGCAATGAGGAACCATCGAAGGCTCCTCAGATGTGGAGTTATATGACCAGGGGTATGAATACATTAGGAATATTAATCACAGTAGGCATTAGGAAGAAATAAGTCATCTAAATAAATAGAAAAGAAATAGAACCAAAATAATATAGGATTGTGGAAGACAAGAGGGGAAAGGGATTCAAGAAAGTAGTAGTCAGTGTCAAATATTAAAGAAGCCATAGATGATGTAGACTATATTGAGGGCAAAGAGAGGAGTAGTACAAACACTATGATCAAGATGCTTTAAAGATGTCACCATAAACTAGGCATGGTGGCATACACAACTATAATCCTTGCCACCAGAGAGGCTGGAAGACTTTTTAAGTTTAGAACTTTTTTTTTTGCAAGGCAATTGGGATTAAGCGACTTGCCCACGGTCACACAGCTAATAAGTGTCCAGTATCTGGTCTGAGATCAGATTTGAACTTAGAGGGCTGGTAGTCTATCCACTGTGCCACCTAGCTGCCCCTAAGTTTGGAACTTCTAAGCTACTGATTGGGTGTCTAAATTTGGCATCAATATATTGAACTCCTGGGAGCTAGGAGATACCAGGCCCTGGAGGCGCAAAGAGGCCCAGGCTGGAAACAGAGCAAGTAAAAACTTCTGTGCCAATCAACAATGGAATCAGGCCTATGAATGGCTGCTACACATTCAGCCTGGGTGAGATAGAGAAAGACTCAATCTCTTTAAAAAAATGAAAAAAGAAAGAAAGAAAAAGACCCCACCATATTAAGTAATCAGTATTCATACAACATACCTGCTAAGCAAGATAGGGCCAGCAGGTCTACGAACTTGAAATGTCTTCTCCAAATATGAAATAGCTTGTGGAAAAAGTTTATTCTAAATTAAAAACAAAAAACAAGAAAAATTTATAATTTTGGTAGAACACAGAAAATTTAAAGTGAAGCCGAGGATGAATGACTATGAAGTAAAGAGACATTTTCTACTTCTGGAAATATAGGAGGCTAGGGAAGTAAAGAGTGAGGGGACAGAAAAGAAGTCCTCTAGGTATTTTCCTTGCTTTCCAGTTGAGTTTGGGATGAGGTCATGCCATTCACAAATACAATATGTTCATACTTTCTTCCTCCTGCCCCTTATTTTAACCACAGAAGCAAAAAGTATAAGCCTCAAGCTTGTATATTTTAGTCAGAGACTGCAAGTGGAAATTCATGGAATACCATGGCCATGTCAATACCATTAAATAGGAAGATACGATCAAAAGTCCCATACAAAGAGACTCCTTCTGTTTTAAAATTATATGTTGAGGTGATCTATTTGTTTCTATTTAGGGCAACACACAGGTTTACAAACTAGGAATGAGGTGGACTCACAACCAACTAAGATTGTGTGTGTGTGTGTGTGTGAGTGTGTGTGTGTGTGTGTGTGTGTGTCTGTGTGTATGGACCCTCTACCCACAAGCTGGACCCATAACCAACTACGAATATATATAGGGATATATTGGGATAGTTGGGATTATTGAACATATATAGGTATATACATATACATATACATATATATATATTCAACAATCCCAAGCAGTTCATCAGTTCATTAATACAAAAACCTATCTCTTTAATGCAAATATTCTCTCACTGATGCTATACTGCTATTAATCATGGCATACCCAAACTTGGGAGAATCAAAAACACAAATAGCCCCAAGGGCAATGGAAAAATCATAGGATCACAGACTTAAGAGACAGAAGGGACTTTGAGGCCTTCTAGGCTAACCCTCTAATTTTCCAGATAAGGAAACTGAAGCTTAGACAGGTTAAGTCGCAGTCAGTAAATAAATATTTATTAAGTGCCTATTATGTGCCAGATATGGGCCATTGGGATACAAATACAAAAAGGACAGTCCTTGACCTCAAGGAGTTTATAATCCAATGGGAGAAGACAATACACAAAAGGAAGCTGAAAAGGGAGTTGGGGAACTAGGGAAGGGCATGGGGGGATTGACCAAGAAGTCCAAAGGAGTGCAGCCAGATGGGCTGCAGAGATAGCTCATTTGGGTGCCCTCCTTAAATGGAGGTTTGGGAGACAGATCTCTACTCTGTCCTCCACTAAGAGTGATCCCTGGGTATAGGGTACTGATAAGGTCTGAGTAACAAGGCTGATGGGAACCTGGAAGAGGTTCCTGGTGGCATGAGTGACTTGCCAGAGGTCACAATGATATTATCCAAGGCAGAAATTGAACCCAGATCTCCCTGACTCTAAATCTATCACTCCCGCCTCTATAACACACTGCTTCTCAATATGCGATGAGCACAAGGCAGCTGCCAATGACGACTTATACAAAGTGAGTGAAACAAAAGATTTACATCATGGATAGGTATAACTAGACGAGGAGGGAGGCAGTTCATATAATGAGTAAAGCACAACAGAGAGAATGCCAGAGTGTAACACTGCTATGCCCAAGACATTCAGAGCCAGAAGAAGCCTCTAGCACATTGGGTAGGTCTATGATGGAAGAACACGACTAAAAATCATAGAGAATAAGGAGAGAGAGGCTATTATCTGCCCTTCAGGGCACTGAGCTTTCCATGTGAGATAGTGGGAACGGCTCTGGAACTGGAGACAGGAAATACTGTCTCTGACAAATGCTAGCTGGGAGACCTCTCGGAGCTTCCAGGTCTTCCTGAGAATAATGCTCTGACATTCCAGGTGACTGTTTCAGATCTTCTCCATCTTCCTGATAACTCTGTAACTTTCTCCAATATTACAATGGCATGTTTAGAAGACTTAACTTACTTTAACCTCACAACTTTTTTTCCTTTCTTAAAATGTCTTTTTTATTATGAACTTAGAAGTCATTAACAAACACAAACATCCTAATACATAAAGAAAAATGAAAAAGAGGATCATTTGTAAAACTGGCTTGCACCATGTACTGCATCTCATCATGAACTGCCTTAAAGTGGCCCGTTGGCCTCAAATGAGAATGCTGCCATTCTTCACAACAATGAAGAGTTGGGAACTTTGGCTTCCCCTAGACCGCTCAAGACAATTCATATCAGTGGACTAGCTTCTTCCACAGTGAGCAGGGGGAAGACAGCACACTGAGAGGGGAAAGAAAACTGGGTCCTGCCTCTTACAAGTACGTGGGACCCCATGGGAATGACTGAACTTCTCTGAACTTCAGTGTCCTTATCCTTGAAATAGGGAGCATGATACCCTATATGGGAACTGACCTCATAGGGGTTTTGTGAGTATCCTGCAAAATGCTTTGCAAACCTTAAGGCATTACCCTACATGTTTATTATGATTATCATTGTAATGGTGTTCTCCAAGTGTTCTCTTGGCAGAATTCCTTTCCACACTTATCAGTATGGGCACACCCTGTTCCCATTAATTTAAAAGGGAACAGAATGCCAGTAAGAAAACAGGAGAAATTATAGAGTATAAGAATTCATGAAAAAAAATTAACAAATGATTAATAAAAACTGGTTCATTATTAATAGCAATAACAATACCTGACATTTGTTATGGCACATTATAAATTAGAAAGTACTTTCACATTATTTCATTTGAGCCTCAAAACAATCACTTGAGGTGGATAAAGCAGATACTATTATCTCCATTTTATAGATAAAGAAACAAGATTCCCTGAGTGGAGAGAGGTATCCATTTCTGGATTCATCTCTCAAGTCTCTCTGGTAAGAATGATGAAATGGTGACTTGCACCACTACAGAGAACTCTTTCCACTGTGATAATTTCCATATCTGTTTATATTTATCTGACAACAAGTTCTGTTACCAAAGTTTTTAGCTCTCTACTTGTCATATAAATACTACAACATACTCTACATAGTCCACAAAGAGTCTTCTAAGCCTTCAAGAATCCTTCTGGAAAGTGATAACATTCTACAGGTCTCCAGCAGCCCAGCACAGTAATCCTGGTGAAGGATAAAGAGATAGCCAAGGCTTTAGACAGACAAGTCTAATAATATCCTAATCCTCCTTAATGAGATATTATAACCCTTTTAAAATGTCCTTGTTACTGAGATTTCAGGTGAAGCCCTGAAATTTCTCTCATGATATCTGCTCCATATTCTACCAATACCTTTTGATTAGTTGCTCATGGAGAGGGCAGCATACCTTACCTACCTTTAAAAGGTGTCTTTTCTCAGAAAGCAACCTGAAAAAGATGACATAAGAATATAAAAAAATCCCATGTTGGAAATTAGCAGAGAAGAAAAAATGTGGCAATAGTCAATACTGGAGGGGTTTTGGACAGACTGACCCATTAATATGCTGTGGGTGGAGCTGTGAATTTGTCCAACCATTTTGGAAAGCAATCTGGAATTATCAATTCATTCAATCAACAAGTACTTATTAATCATCTACTCCATGCTGAGCACTGGGCTAGCTGTTAAGTATACAAAGGAAAAAGTGAAAAAGTTCCTCCCAACAAGCAACTTACAGAGGAGACAGCATGTACATATACAGGAATAAACAACATAGACTGGAAGACATCATAGTGGCATCTGGGAAGATGAAGAAAGGCTTCAAAGCAATTAAATTGAAAGAAGGTCCTAAAGGAAACTAGGAATTCTAAGAGGGAGAGGGTGAGGGGGGGAGTACATTCCAGGTATGGGGGATATGGCCAGTCCAAAAGCTCAGAAATGCAGTGTCACGTTCAAGCCAGTAAAAAGGGCATATTGACTAAAGCATAGATTTCAAGAGGGGAATGTTCAGACTCCTTTTATTAGAGATCCCACTGCTGGGCATATATCTCCAGGAGGTCAATGATTAAAATAAAAGTTCCAAACATCCCTCCCCCAAAATTTTACAGCAGCAATTACTACAGTCTCCAAAAAAAAGGGAGGGGGGAACAAAGTAGATGGCCATTGATTGGTGAGGAAATTGAGGGGATTAGAATAGCAAGTGATTAATTATGGGAATTGAGTGAACCATGCTGATTCCATCTCATGACTCAATTCTGGAGTTAGCTTAGTTTCAATTCAATTATGGATCTAGTCCAATTTCTGTCTTGTGAGAAAACTTTACTGAATTGTGGGAAGTGGGAGAAAATCTTATTGCATCATTTGAACCTAACCCTGCATGGCCAGGAAACTGAACCAATCTCTTCCTGCTGCTTAGAGACCTTAGGTTATGCTGACCAAAAACTCAGTCAGATCCAAAGTTGTTTTCTCATTTCTGTACATCTCAAGCAACACATATGTCTTACCTGAAAACTGACCCCAAACTGATCAATCAGCTATTGTTTCCACGTTCCTTTGACTGTTTATAGATACACTTGGGGAGAGTGGGACACCTCTTTTTCTGAATTCCAGTGTGAGAAATGCTGAACTATTAGGTTCTCACATAGGTTGCAAAAAACAGGAAAGGTGCTGAATTGTTAACTATTTCTACATAATGCCAGAATGAAGGGGGGAGTGACATTCCTCAGGCCAGTTAAGCTAGGTTAACAGTAGAGTTCCTGTTTTTGCAGCCCAAGGCCTGAACCAGCCCAAGCCCAGTTCGTTTGAGGCCAATGTCTGGGCACAAGAATCTGCTACTACACAGACTCAGTGAACCTCAAGCATATTAACTAAAGAATGAGGATTGTATTTCCACCAATTGTAACCCAGATTGTGGTTTCTCTAATTAGAATATGGAATTGTGGACCTAACCAATTGTGAAACTTTTGATCGTAACTTGGACCAATCCTGGAGGGAGGGGTAAGAGGACCTGACTAACAGTATAAAGCTCGCTCTCACTTCCATGCTCAGTGTGCTTCCTTCTTGGGAGGCAGTGCACCCAATTCTCGCAAGAATTGAATAAAGGAATTTTTTCCTTCACTCTAAAACAGCTGTAGCTTGCATCTCTAAAAGAGCTGTATCCTGTTATTTCGACTTTTGGCTGGTTTGCAACTGGGGAAGCAGTGGGCAGTGGCAGCTTGTCCTGGGCTAACTCCCCAATCCTGCTGATCCTGGAGGTCGTTGATAACACCAGGAACTGCACTTGTTTGCTCTTCCCCTCCCAATTTGGAAAATCCCTAATCTTTCACCCAATTAGAAATTAAATTACAAAACTTTATATTGTTTCCTTTTAATTAATTGGCCTTATTTGACTAATTGTTTTTAATGTATAAAAAGTTTGTCTCCCCAACTAAGCTGGGGAAGGAGCCTGGTCCTGATTTGTTAGGCAATTGGCATGTACTGCTTAATAAATTGATATGCTTGAAAGAGTGAATCTTAGTTTTCCTCAGTCATTTCATCTTTTGCCAGACTCATTGAAGAATGGATAAAGAAATGCTGGCACATGAATGTAATACAATATGCATCATTACAAGTAATGAACATGAAGAGCATAAGCTTTATATGAACTGATACAAAATGAAATAAGCAGATCCAAGAAAACAACATACAAACTAACTACAACGTAAATGGAAAGAACAAAAAAATCAAACTGAATGTTGTGAAATTCTAATGTATATACTTGGCCTCAAAAAAGATCTATAAGAAGGCCCCCGCCCCCTCCCTTCTTTGTACTGATGGAGAACTATGAGTACAGAGTGCTGTATATGGTGCCAGATGTGGCTGATGCGTTAGTTTGTTTTGTTAAACTGTTTTGTTTTCTTTATTCTTTGTTATAAGGATGTGAAGGTAATACCAAAAAAAAAAAAAAAAATCACATTCTTTGGTGTCACTAATGGTCTGTCTCATCCAGTCCATCTCTTACAGGCACCCATGTCGGTGCCTGGGGTTTCTTTGCCCTGGAATATCCATCTACCCTTTGACCTTTTAAACCTAGAACATCTCTCTATGATGCCTGTGCCCTTTTCACACTTGGTGAGATCTTCCTGGAGCCTTCATTTTGTGGGGGGGCCTAGGCCAGCCCTTATTCTCCTTTGGGCCCAGTTCCTTGCTTCCAGACTTCAAAACCATTTCCTCATCTTGCCCCCAAGACCTGGGTACCAACCCTTCCTCTAATCTCCTTTTCAGCTTCCTTTAGAATATTGTTTATCCCTATTAGAATATACCTTGAGGACAGGTACTGTCTTAGTATTTCCTTTTATTTGTATCTCCAGTACTTAGCACAGTGCCCAGAACAGAGTACCCAATAAATAAGCCTTGTTATCTTCCTTCCTTGCTGTTTTCCATATTTTTTGATCTCAAAAGCCTATAGACTCAAAATAACCCTAATTTCCATTAGCAAGAAACAGTGGATATATTTTTAATTTATCTAGCTCCTTCTTCAATCCATTTATATATATATTTTTAACCAGGTTAAAGAATCCTACAAGTTTACTCCCTGATGTATAAGTTAGTAGCTCCTTTCATTTTTAACCTTGTAATACTATGTATTTCAAAAGATACACTGTAGGTCGAATGTTATGAGATTTAGTCAACAAATCCATGATCACTCTAGTTATATATTTTATGATTTAGACTTCAATAATACAATTTAGCTATCTGGAATATTTTATGCTTGTTCTCATCTGGAAGCTGCTCTATCCCCTTATTCATTATAACTGCCCTTCTATACATATTTTCAACCACTTTGCAGTAATGTTTAGATTCTTAATTAAAATATGATGAAATAATATTGTACTTACTCTTCAACACTTTTATCGTAAACAATCTTAATTCTTAAATGCTGATCAACATCCCTCTTCAGGATATGATTTGTTTTAAGATGAACCTTGTATATGACCTGGAAACAAAGGGAATAAAATGAATGACAGAGTAAGCCACACAAGGTAGCTGGATGGGTCTTACGATTTAAATTATTAAATAGAATTTATGGAACAAAGGTCACGTCATTCAAAAGAAGTAATCTCCCAAAGTTTCCCAAGTGCCAATATTTCCCTTGCTAATGCTCTCTTATCTTCAATGAGGCTGGCAATATGAATTTGAAAAAGTTTCATAGGAATGAGTAAGTATGTGCTCAAGATCGCAGTTGCGAACAATTTATCTACTGCTCAGTCCTAGCTCTGCCACTTACTAGTTTTACCTGTGGACCTTGCGCAAGTCAGTTAACTTTTCGAGGCCTCAGTTTTCTCATCTGTTAAAAAGACTAGATGACCTTGAAGGTCCTTTTTAGCTCTAAACCCCAGGATCCAGCATCCAACAGCTGAGTGCCACAGGTAATTCTCTAAGACCATAGTCTGCAGTAGAGTTGCTCGCCCTCCAATAAGAGAGGAACCTTCTTCTTCAAGAAGTTCCCTTTACAAAAGAAATCACAGGTCCAGTTCCTATCCCTACATGCAATTAAAAAAACCCCAACAACCTATGATTCATTTGTTGATTGTATACTTTTGTGCAGATGTCTTGTTTTGCAGCTTCTTATACTCTTTTGATCATGAAAGGAGTAAAAAATTTGGTAAATTAATTAAATAAGACAAATAATTTTCCTGCCCAAAAAGTATATGCCTAGATTTTCTCCAATTCTTATTTAAATGAATTTTTGCATGGGGCAGGCAAGGAGACCAAGACAAGTCTTTGCATTATCACAGCTTTTAAACAAATGTCTCATAGGAAACAAATCAGAAGATTAATTTCAAAGGAGACAAATAAAATTTTCCCACACAATTCTTTCAATGTCTATGGATGGGATCCTATACCAAATACTATTTCACTGGGAAGCTTTGGACATGAAAAATGAAGTAACCTTTATTATGCATAAGATTATTCAGGATCACCTTGACCAATCCTGAAATCAGCTTGTCAGATTCTTTTTCATAACATTTTTGGAACTGGAAGAGATCTTAAAATGAGGAAATTTGAGACTGAGTAGGGCATAGATTTATCTTTCTAGTAAACCTAAATGTTCGTATTCTAATTCAGATTTCCTGTAGTATTGTTAATACCACACCTCCCTGTCTCCTTTTGTGAATAGATTTCAGGAATAAAAGACTACCCCCTTCCAAAATCACATGAAATTAAAAATGTTGTTGCTGGTCCTTCTTTCGAAGATGACCAATGACATCATGGGATGATGTCTTAATTTGCTAAGAATTGGATTTAAACCAGGCAGAGTTACACAAAGTCATCAGCCTCACTCTCTCTTCTAGAGTCACTGAAGTTCAGTGGCAGGACAAAAATCAAGATGACTGGTGACGACCAGGATGCAGGGGATGACCTTGGCATCTTCAATGTTTGACCAAGCTCTAAGCACTCCAGAGCACCTGCTTCAGCCACCTTCATGGCCACTGGAATAAATTGTTCTCATCTACCCATTCCATTGGGGGAAGTCTTCATATGTTTGAGGTAGACACCCCACTAACTCACCCATGGGTTTGTGGCCCACTGACAGGCTCAACCTGATTTAGCCCATCTGCTGAGATGGTTTACCAGGCTGTGGCTGCTGCATAGGCTTCTTGGAGTCACAGGTGAGAGCTGGGTAAAGGTGGACAACAAAGGTGGATGTGCAGCCCTGAAAAGGGCACTGCAAGCCCTCACACCAGAGGTGCTAGTCCTCCCTAAACGCCCCATACACCCCACTGAGAATGTAGTGGATAATCATCTCGCTTACTTCCACCAGGACCCCTAGAGAGGGGGCCAAAAATATTAGCATTAAATAAAAATGAAGGCATATAAGGACACTGTCAGGGAACATGAGGACCCAATGGGGGGGGGGGGGGCGCAACGCAAGGAGTCTTCCATCAGGCCAGATATGGCAAGTCTGTAAGTACTGACATGGAAATATTCATAGATGTGTTGATAGGTAGTGCTGCCAATCAAAACTATCAACAAGCAGAGACCTAGAAGGTAAAACTCAGGTTTATTACATGCTTCTGCATAGGCAGAGAGTTCTTAATCAACTCTGAGCAATGAACAGAGATTTCCTAAAGCTTATATGGTCTCTAGTTACATCAGAAAAAAAAAGGAAAAAGGTACAATTTTGAATTTATAGCTGCAGGAAAGAAAAAGAATTAACAAGGACCAAAAGGAGAAAAGTAAATATTGACATTTCAAAGATAACTGAATAAGAAAAATCTAGAAGGGTTAGCCTGGGAAAGGCAGTTAGATGGCACAGTGGATAGAGTGCCAGGCCTAGAGTCAGGAAGACCTGAGTTCAAATCTAGCCTCAGACACTTAGTAGCTGTGTGACCCTAGGCAAGTCGCTTAACCTTGTTTGCCTCAGTTCCTCTTCCATAAAATGAGCTGGAAAAGGGAACGGCAAACTATTCCAGCATCTCTGTCAAGAAAACCCCAAATGGGGTCACAAAGAGTCATGACTGAATAGCAACAAGTCTGGGAAAATTCTTTTCCCCTGTCTGGTTTCTTATCTTGATCAAAAAATTTGGGAGTTTCAGCTAATTTAGCATATGGAAAACCTCATTAGGTAACAGAGCCTAGAAAGAAGCCTCTCCTATCTTTAAAACTCAATCAATAAACACTTATTAAATACCTACTGTGTTCCAGGCTGTGCTAAGAGCTGCAGAAACAAAGAGGCAAAAGACAGTCTTTGCCCTCAAGGAACACAACATACAATAAACATGTACAAAGAAAACTATATACAGGATAAGTAAGAAATAATAATTAACAGGCACTAGAAATAATTAACAAGCACTAGAATTAAGAGGTGTTGAGAAAGGTTTCCTGTAAAAGATGAGATTTTAGGTAGTACTTAAAAGAAAGCCAGGGAAGGCAGTAGGCAAAGTTGAGGAGAGAGAGCATTCCAGGCATGGGGGACAGCCAGAGAAAATTGTCAGAGGCAGAGATGGAGAATCTTATTTGAGGAACAGCCAGGAGGCCAGGGTCACTGGATCAAAGAGTATGTGTCAGGCAGTAAGGTGTTAAGAAGACTGGAAAGGTAGAAGGGGCCTAGGTTATGAAGGGCCTAGAGGTAATAGGAAGCCATTTCAGTTTACTGAGTGGGGGGACAGGATAAGGGGTGGGAAGAGGTGACATGGTCAGACCAACACTTAGGAAAATCACTTTAGTGGCTGAGTGCAGGATGGATTGGAGTGGGGAGAGATTTGAAGCAGGCAGACCCACTAGCAGGCTATTCCAATAATCCAGGTATGAGGTGATAAGAACCTGTCACTACGGTGGCAATGTCAGATTAGAAAAAGGGGTATAGTTGAGACATATTACGAAGACAAAATCAATAGGCCCTGGCAACAGATTAGACATGGAGTCAAGGATAAGTCCTAGATTATGAACCTAAGGAACTGGGAAGATAGTGTTACCCTCTACAGTCATAGGGAAGACAAGAGGGAGGAGGGTTTAGGGTAGAGGTGGGGAACCTGTGGTCTTGAGGCCACATGTGGCGCTCTAGGTCCTCAAGTGCAGCTCTTTGACTACATCCAAATTTCACAGAACAAATCCCCTTAATAAAAGGATTTGTTCTGTAAAACTTGGACTCAGTCAAGGGACTGCACCCAAGGACCTAGAAGGCCACATGTGGCCTCAAGCCCACAGGTTCCCTACCTCTGGACTTTAGGGGGAAAGATAAATTCACTTTTGTAAATATTGCGTTTAAGATGTCTCATGGACATCCAATTTTATGTCTGTAAAGGTAGCTGGAGATATGAGATTAGAGGACAGCAGAGATTTTGGGGCAGGACAGGTAGATTTGAGAATCATCGGCATAAAGATGGTAATCAAATCCATTATCAAGTGAAGTAGTAAAGAGAGAGAAGAGAAGAGGGCCCAGGACAAAAACTATTTTATTCATTAATTCTTATTTAGGTTCTTGAAATTGAAGATAATAAAATGGGCTGGCCTTCACAGTCAAATTCATTAAGGGGCTCTAAAAGCTATAGTAACGAAAAAATGATTATCAGTCAAGTGGCATTGAAAATCCATGTATCTTTCTTTTCTTTTCTTTTTTTTCCTCATGTACCTTTCTTAAAGCAGCAACTAAAAGCTCCTATGACATTGAAAGGATACAGTTTCTGTGATGGTGTAAGGTAAGTGATCTTGCATCTTGGCTGAAATTTTCCTGTGTAACTGCGTGGATTCCAGATCATGTGGGTTTCAAGGCAAGGTGCCACAAAGGCCAATGACCTCTGGCTGACAGCTTCTCCAGACCAGCTGATGAAGCCAAGTTCTGACGGTCATTACTAGAGGCTGTTATAGCACCCAACTGGTCCTTATGAATGTTTTTAATCTTTCCTTAACTATTCACTGGATTCTTCTCTGAAGCCTGGAAAAATGGCCTGAAATCTCCTATCCTTTAAAAAAAAATCCTTTTGGGGTAGCTAGATGGTACAGTGGATAGAGCTCCAGCCTTGAAGTCAGGAGGACCTGAATTCAAATCTGGCCTTAGACCAAACACCTGACACTTACTAGCTGTGTGACCCTGGGCAAGTCACTTAACCCCGACTGCCTTACCAAAAAGAAAAGAAAAACAAAACAAAACAAAAAAATCCTTTCATTCCTTCCTGTTGTTACATCCAACTCTCAGTGATCCCATTTTGGGTTTTCTCAGCAAAGATAGTGGAGTGGTTTGCCATTTCTTTCTCCAGCTCATTTTATAGACAAGGAAACGGAGGCAAATAGGGTTAAATGACTTGCCCAGGATCACACAGCTAGTTAAATGTCTGAGGTTGGGTTTGAACTCGTGAGTTTTCTTGATTTCAGGCCTGGTGCTCTATCTAACAATCCCCAAGCTACAGTTTGATGGCTCTCGGACTCTTTCTCTCTTCCTCTCTCCTTTTTCATTGCCAAAATCCTAGAAATAGCCACCTTTAGTCACTGCTT